TTTTCTTATACAGTATCCTGTCTTACAAAATCAATATCTCTATTGTGACTAATTTAAATTTAATTACACATTAAGCACCCAACCTCTAAGTACTGTCACTTTTGGGAAACTCAAATTTGTTTGTAATATATTTAAATATTTTTGTATGAAGTAATGCAAGTCATTGCTAGGGCTTGTTCATTGCTTATTGTTGTTGTTATGAATTGCCTTATACCCATGAAAGTTTTCTGTCATTTATAATTTTATTTTGATGATTGGTAATTTCTCTCTTGTTTGTGACTCTTACAGGTTTTTGCTTTAAAACCATTACCCCAAGGAATGGAAAATAAGAACATCACCAACTTCAATAAAAAATACTGAGTTATTTGCTGTTATAAAAATGTACATATTAAAATCAGACATTAACTTTATAAGATAATATTTTAAAACTAGAAGCTATGCAGAGATATAGATGATTTGATGTTAATTACTTTAAGATACTTTTTTCAACAAAAGCTTTTTTTATTTAAATTAGAAGCAAACTTTCTTCACATGTCAGTCCCAGCCCTTTGTCCCTCCCCTCATCCCCTGCCTCCCACCAGGCCTCCCAGCCCCCCACCCAATCCTCACTCTGTTCCCCAGGGAGGGTGAGGCCCTCGATGGGTGATCTCCAGAGTCTGTCATTTCATTCAGGGCAGGGCCTAGGCCCTCCCCCAGGAGTCCAGGCTGAGCAAGCATACCTCATTGTGGAATGGGCACTCAAAGTCTATTTGTGTGCCAGGGATAAATAGTACCCAAGGCCCCATAGATTACCTAGGCCTCCTCATGGTTGCCCACATTCAGGGGGTCTGGGTCAGTCCCATGCTAGCCTCCCTGCCATCAGTCTGGGGTCCAAGAGCTCCCCCTTGTCAGGTCAGCAGTTTCTGTGGGTTAGACCAGCCCAGTCTTGACCCGTATACTCATTAGTCCTCCCTCTCTGTCACAAGGTATGTTTTTTACAATGTGGGATGTAACAGTTCATTAGAAACGACCTATAGTCCTTATAGTCAATTTGAATATCTGCTAAAGTGACAAAGAATATATAAAATATCATTATACATACAGAGTTTGTATGAAAATTTTCTTGAGTTCATGCCAAGAAAGTAGGTGCTTGTGGGTATAGTTCCTATGAGAAATGAAATGTATTAAAATGGACTTTTTTTCTTGCAAAAAAAAATGTTAAAATGAAATCACAAAGGCAGATCCTTATCCAGCCGGACTGCAGGCCTTACAAGAAGAGGCAGTTTGGACACCCAGAGCCAATGGGATGGGCATACACAGAAGAAAGGACATGAGAGGACAGTGTGGCAGCATGTAAGGGGGGAGGCCGCAGAAGAACCCAACTTTGCCAGCACCTTGACCATATTTACAGTTTTAGCTTTCAGACACATGAACATTGCAGTGGCAACCCTGTTAAACATTCACTGTCTTGTTAGAACTGCATATCCTCTAATTGGCCCCTGTCTTGGGCTAGGCTGGGGTGGTGGGGGCAGTTCTTGAAGATTCCACCTATTTGCAAGTCACTTGAAGAGGTCATACAAAATCCTTCTTATCCAGAAGTTGTGGGTCTGCAGCAGTATGTTGTTGCACCCTTCCCCCATGGGGGTCTCCTGACCAGCTTGTGACTAGGAGCTTCTAGCAAAATACCTCTTGTCCCCTCCTCCCAGTAAGGTCTGCATGCAAGTTCCTGTTTTCTGTCTATCCTTATTGTCTAAATGCTAATTCCTGTTATTGGTCCATCCTTTGCTGGAGGGCCCTGGCTTCTGACCTTGGTGGTTTTCCACTATGCCTGCTATTGGTATATAATGCTCCGTTCTTGTAAAAAATAAATGCCATTCTCCTTGTAAGAATGAGCCACTGTCTTTGTCTTTATGTATATCCTTAGCAACTCGGATCGTTGTGACGTGATGTAGCCCCATAACCGAACAGCAGTTCGCTACAGTATGTGAAACTCCATACTGAACAGTCTGGGAAGGTGGCTCAGTGAATTAGACAGTTGCTGTACAATCGTAAGGACTAGAGTTGCAAACCCTGGAACCCATATACATAAGCTGCATGGATGTGATGGTCTGTCTGTTATTCCTGGCCTCCAGAGGTAAAGATGGACTTCACAGGGCAAGTTATCAAAGCAGATTACCCAAGCAGCTAGCCCCAGCTTCAGCAAGAAAGCCCAAGTAAACAAAAATAGAAATCAATCAAAGACGGCATTCAATGTACCCACACGTGTGCATCAACATGTAAGCAAGCACGTGTGACTCTCTCTCTCTCTCTCTCTCTCTCTCTCTCTCTCTCTCTCTCTCTCTCTCTCTCGTGTGTGTGTGTGTGTGTATATATGTCTGTCTGTCTGTCTGTCTGTCTGTCTCTCTGACACTCTCTTTCCCTAAATGAGGGCTGGAGTCCTCATACACCCCAGGGAAAGGGGTGCAGGGTTCATTTGTAATGATGGTGTACTTCAGCTGTATCTGCATAACTGTAAGGACTGTTGTGTGCATAGCCACCTCCAGCCAGCCTGGCCTGCAGGTCCTCCCTGGGAATGCGTTGTCAGGCTTGTTGCTTACAAAGCACAGCCACTCAGGCAGGCATGTGGCAACGTTATCCAGTTCTGTAGTCAGTTTTCAGAGAGACAAAAACACAAAGAAGAGAGTGCCAGTGCAGCTTGAAAAGGGGATGGAGACAAGAACTCTTGTGCATCTTGGGAAAGAACTCTTGGAGGTCCTCCCTGAATAGCAGAAGAGTGACAGTGGACCTGTGATTCTGCCACAGAAAGCGGTTTAGCATTCTAACCTAGAGCAAAGGTCTTCAACACTCGCTCTGAGCCTGCTCCATCCCAAGTGTGGACAGGTAACACATGTAGACCTGTATTAAAACAGATTCTGTGGCACCCCAGCTTCTGTGGAACCAGGTCACAGCTTGCACCTCTTGCCTGCATCTTCAGGATGATGCGCAATGGGCAAGAATTATCCTCTCTTCCTGGTGAGGAAATCCTGTTCTAAGAGTTAGCTTTCACAAAGGCCAATCAGTGTCAACTTCACTGACTCAAAATCACACATTTAACCATAAAATCCGAACATTTAACCGTATGCTGCCTCTAGAACTTTTAAATACTCACTGACTTCAACATCCCAGGATGCTTGAATCTGTCAACTGGATAGATTTAATAGAAACATCACTCCCAATGCACATGTGGACCATGCAAAACCACTGTATCCCAAGTACAACTTAATATACTATTTGCTCCATCCTAGGGCACTAGCTAAAAGTGACAGGGAACTTCTACTACTCCAGAAAATCTGAGTATAAACAGGAATTTAATTTGTGTACAGAGGCTGGGAAACAGGTCTGCTTTCTTTCTTGGGTATTTAAAACATCTTCTTAAGTTTTGTTTTTAAATTGAAATGAAGTTGGATTACATATTTCCTCATGTGGCTCACTGCAAGACTGCAGCTGGATTTTATCTTGATTAGATAAGACACAGAAACGGCAGCTCACTCTAGGGGAAGGAAATACAGGTTTTAAGCAGAGATGGCCAATGAAGTTTACAAAAAGCTTTGATTTGTTTCTATACTAATGCAAGCAGGCAGATTATCTCTATTCCATTACTCAAGAAAACCTGGTAGTGCTTTGGGTTTTCATTAAATATTTGTTTAATTTCTTTTCATTTGATCTGTTCTCATGCCTGGCATTTTAGTCACAAGCAGACTCTCCATGCCCACAAAAACTGAATGACTCCCACAGACAGCCTCATTTCCAATTGATGCTGGCCTCTGAGCACTTGTGGGACTAATGCAGGTCATTTACAAGCTCTGCATCATCTTCCTTCAGATTAGAGGCTCTCTCCACCCACTTCTAAATATATTTCAGTAAAAGGGCATGTGAGTCACTGAAGTTCATTTTTCACCTTGGGGCTTGCGCAGAATACAGTTAACCAGGAGGAGATACACTATTTCTCTTGCTATTTAATGTTCCCCACCAAGTGCCTGGCAAATACAGCGGTGCAGCAAGCAGGAGGCACAGTAAGCAAAAAGAACACTGGACACCGCTACTGCTACTTAGAAAAAGAGAGAGAAAGCAAACCTCAACACTCTGTTTTCTTTGGGAAAGATTAACTGTTATGTTAATTCCAGAAGACCTTGCTAATGAACCAGGAAGAAACAACACAGATCTAGTTGGCCTGTCAATGGTGTAGTAAGGTTTAAACAAACCCACTCAGCTTTAAACAGTTGTTATCACTGTACATACACAACATGCGCGCGTGCGCGCGTGCACACACACACACACACACAGACAGAGAGACAGGAAGAGAGACAGAGACAGAGAGAGAAACAGGCAGAGAGAGAGACAGAGAGAAAATGGTGAAGTAGTTTTTTTTCTTATTTTTTTAAACCCATACACGCCAAAGGATTTCAGTTTGGCATACTCCTGTGTTGTCTTCATATGAATACATTCAATTAATTTCCTGTTCACTGGTTGCAGAAAGAAAGAAAGAAAGAAAGAAAGAGAAAGAAAGAAAGAAAGAAAGAAAGAAAGAAAGAAAGAAAGAAAGAAAGAAAGAAAGAGAAAGAAAGAAAACCCCAGGGCTAACTGCTGTTCCCAAAGTCTCTCTCTCTATGATGCTGCTGTCACTTTACAAAAATGAACCAAATCCTTACGGCCTTGCCATCTGTGTTGTTGACTAGATTACCCAGTTCTCCTGTCCCACAGGTCCTCAGCAGCTCCTACTTTTCATTTACTAGATATCTGCAAAACAAACATATATCCTTGTTTCCCCCAGGTGAGTGAAGGTAAGAATTCTCCTTGGGACTCTGACTCACTAATCCAGGACATGCTACCATCTGGGCTCACAGTAGATTCATTACTAAATAAAAGCACTAAGGAAGAAGGCAGATGATGAGTTTCTGTTGGCTTCATATCTACTTCATTTAACAGCCTCTGAGTCTCCTAAAATCACAGACCGGGGATAAAGAAGGACGAAGCACTGCTGCCACATTTAACACTTGTACATTTTATTTAGTTAAATCAGCCATTGTACAACATTGCAGCTATGTATCGTTAGTGTTGTATGGTTTTCCATTAACTAATACATGCCCTCATAGATATATTCAATTAGTGTTATCACCATGGGAACAAGATGCTGATTCATCAACTGAAAATCCACTTCTCACAGTATTCAAGTTTTTTTTTGATAACACAGCAAAAAAAAAATCAAAATCAAAAAAGGTGAATAACCATTATGTTGCTACACAGACATCATCTGCACTGCAAATAACACAACAGAAAGGCTTTTCATGAGCTCCGGTGAAGGTCTGACAGGATAGATGGCCAGGGCATATCTCAAAGGTCTGACAGGATAGATGGCCATGGCATATCTCAAAAAGGGCTGCCACCTGCCTCTCTTGTTCTGAATGCCAAAGAATACTTTGTTTCTACTCAACCCTCCCCCCAGAAAGTGCTAGCATTGGGGGCTCAGGAGATTTGGCAGATGGGAAACCTCTCTCCCAAGAAAATTCCTCTCTTGGTAATGTTACTTTAAAAGATGAAGTGCCATTCTTTGTCTTGTTTGTGTTTGACATTCCAAGCAATGAGTCAGTTCTGCACACAGGAAAAGGCCAGATAGGACTGGAAAAAGTTCAGTCTCAGTAGAGTACACTGTTTTCTTGCTTTTTTAAAATCTCATCTTCATTGAATATACTTTTTCTTTAACAAATAACTGATTCAAAACGTATACTGTTTATATGAATATATTTGTGACTATATATATATATGTTAAAATGCTACACAGCTTCAACCACTAGAGGGATTAGACACAGGGCGTGGAGATCACTCAGACTGTCATTGTCCCTTCTCTGAAACAAACAGAAAGTTGCACAAATGCACTTCAGTTTCCAAGAGTATCTGGGTTTCAAATAAATAATTAAATTCAATTAAATTCAATAAAAAAATTCAAAAAAATTAACCAAAACCAAAATTTCCACGGATTTCTCAATCTTGTCTGCAAGCTCAAAAGCAGACGTAACTAGAAAATGAAAGCCCAGGGTGAAAACCATTAGTATGATAAGAAGGGTTTGTGTGTGTGTGTGTGTGTGTGTGTGTGTGTGTGTGTGTGTGTGTGTGTGTGTTTAATGCCACATGCAGGTATTAGAGAAGAGATATACCTGGAGGTGGGGTGAAAAAAAAAGCAAAAGAAACCACTCCAACATGGTGACAGCATTTAACATTTTGTGTGGTGCATAAATCTTGTTTCCAATGAATTATCTACAGTGCAGTGGCCAGAAGAAAGTACCACCAGTAAGACAGCATGGTTTGCTAAAGCAGCAATGAACACTGGAAAACTACAGTAGTTATAGCTTTTAAAATACCCTGCCAACGTGTTCAAAATCAAAAACACCTGAAAATGCTAGAACACCACCCATGCAGCTTCCAGCACCAAAATACCTCATTGTTTCCATCTGCTTGTCTATGCTCCCTTCTTCCCCCTCCTTCAGGGTGGTAGTTGGAGAGCCATCAGTGATGGCTAACCAATACGAGAGACTGCTCCTTGGGATCAGTCTTCAAGACTATGATCCTGTAGTTAGGAGCAATGGCTACTCTGGAAGTACTAAGGACATGTCTAAGTCTGAAGTGTTCCTTCCTTTGAACTGTATTACCCTTAACTGTGTTAGCAATATCTTAATTAACCATTGTTCAGCAATTTCCAGAGGCTTTTATTCCATGATGCCCCGTGAAATTATGACAGGCAGTGGTTTAAATTTTACTCTGTTGTTCGTCTGAGAATTTCAGCTATATACATTATACATGGATATCCTTGGAAGCATTCCCCTCTGTCACTTGAAGAAGTCTGCAGGTGAAGTTCTTCTGATTTTCATGGAGCTTGGGCAGAAGCAAAGAACAATGGAGGCGCCAGTTCCCAGGTTAGCACGGATGCTCAGAATAGTGGATACAGCATCCAGAATGAAGGATGCTATCTTTGGTCACAAATTAGCGTATAGTTAGAGAGGGTAGGGGAGAAGGAAGCAAAAGAAAATGCCGTGTATTTGCCGAGAGTGGAAATGTCACAGGATCCCAGTAATTAGGCCACTTCGGTCACTCCTGTCAGGAAATGGGAAGTTGCATATTGAGTGGGTATGTGGTTTCTGGTAAGAACTGGGCAGCTCCTCATTGGGCCTCTTGCTTTGTGTTCTCCTTGCAGAAATGCCGAAGGAGTTGCTGGAGATCTCTCTGGAGGTCATCTTGGTCTAGTGCTCCAGGAACATCCTCCAGGTGCTCCAAGTTGATGCATTTCCCCTGCTGGTCCTTCACCACAGCCCTCTTCTGTGTACTGGCTTTACTCATTGTTGTCCTACAGGGAGCAGATTAGACAATTAGACCCTTTCCCCAGACACCCATGGATTTCCTGTCTTACCTTTGTATCTATTCCCATTAGTTTAATGATGGCAGGTAGACAGGTATGTTTCTTACATCACTCATAAATGAGGATCTCTTATCCGAAATCACTCACAAGGCTTAAAAAGTGTATTTTTGAATGAGACATAATGTTTTTTATATCTTTCAGAAATAGTTCAAATAAAGGACACTATGCTTCCATTACATTTCCGCAAAGAGAAGCCAGGCCATGGCTCAGATTTTGGTTTAAGTTGCATAGACCCCAAAGGTCCTCGCTTACTCTGAAATAATGATTCCCAAGGCACCATTGACAAGCTTAGAAAATCATTTAAAATTCATGCACTTCCCAGTCTGAACTTTGCCTAAATTTTGTTTTCCTATGAGATTTGGTTTCCATGAGATTGAGATCTTTAACAACTGGAATATTCTGCCAAAACGTGAGAAGGCGACTACCAGCAGGCAGATCTCTGAAGCTTCCTTGAGCATCAGCAAGGGAGAGAAAGGGAATGGGTACAACTCCTAAGAGCTGCCACCTCCTGAGTTTCCTCAGGACCTCCACGTGCTTAACCCATTCTGCCTGTCCCACCACGCCAGTTAGCAGGGCTCTCCGTTCACTGTCTCCTCACCCCTGATGCTCCTAGAGAAAAGATGTCATAACTGCTGTTTTATTTCATACTATTATTCTCCTAGAGTCTCCACTTGAAAATTATATTGTAATGCGTTCTTTTTCTAGTCTTCTGTCTACTCATGAGAATAATGCTTCATTCTGCAGATAGGTGTTGAATGTATTTTATGTACTATGTATAGTTATAACAAATAAGAAAACTGACCTTAGGGGGTTTAAATGACATCCACACACTAATTTTTTTTAAAAAATAGCGTAGGGTCCAAGATTCCTGAGTCTGGGCCCATAACCAGGAATCCATGGATCTTCAAATCCACCAACAAAGAATGGCCAGGCATTTTCCTTATGAATTTCCAGTGTTTTGAAGCTAGAAGTTTTAACAATGGTCATTCTAACCTTATGGCAATTTCTAAAAACTTCTTTTTGCCAATTTCCAGCTCTCCTTTGGACATCCTTGCCTCCGATCTTTCTCCGAGGCTCTCTTAGATATTACATGCATGGCACCTTCATTTGATGCCATATCTAAATTTGTTCCTCTTGATGAAATGTTCATATTTGATCACTGTGGTGCAGTCATTTTGTGTATTTCTGGCTGACCCTGTCATTTCTGCTTTGTTTACTCTACAAATGACAAAAATCTGTCTCTTTCTGCCAGGGATTAGGAGAAGGTTTCACAGTTCTGGTGCCAGGGAACAGACATACAGCCAGCCTGGAACTTTTTTTTAAATTTTCTGCAGATGTGTGCAAATGTTTATGTATGTGATAAAATGACCTCAGTAATGTATGAACTCAAGTGCTGTTCACCAGAGTCCCATGCTGACTAACTGTGAATGCAAGTTGTTAGTCACTGCCTTCAGCGAAGTGTCCACCACTGCAAGGAGACAGGGAGTTAACTGCTCTCTGAATCTATTCCAGTTCAAAGATCCTGGGATGCCAAGGTTTGCAAAGGTTGTATAGTTTCAACTGAACAATCAGACAAAAGGATTCAACACTCAAAACAGAAGCATTTTATCCGTAATTCATACGGCATTTAACAGCTCTAGGCGTCCAATTATGTTCTTCTAAATTCATAGCTGCTACTGTTTCTCACATTTGAGCTAAAGGCGGAATTGTGACAGAACCTTAATTTTGCTTTTAATTATTATGTTCCAGAAACTTAAAATAGCCTTGTGGAGTACTATAAATGACAGTCTTTCTCCCCTTCTCAATGAGATGGCAAGCACAACAGTAACTTGGGCTCCCATTGTATCGTTCACTGAGAAGCTGAGAGGTCTGTGGGAGAGTGATGCTTACAATGGTGCCAGAGGACCAAAGTGGCTACAGTTCAGACAGCAGATCTGCAATGGAGCAGGCAGCTCACTGGGCCTCACACGTGCTCTTACTCACGTTGCTTAAGGCAACATTCAGTACATCTGGGACCTCAGACATCAAACTTGTGCTCCTGTTTCTTGCCACTCCCATGCGGCACCATGGACCTTTTTAACAGCAAAAAGCCATAATAGATGAAGACTGAGCTGGATATAGTTAGTTTCCAAGTTAATCAGTGTGCCATAGATTAGATTTTTCTTCATATGGTCTCCAAATCTATCAACACAGTGGTATTCCCTACCTGTTTAGCTCCAACTATCCTGGCAATCTGCTTGAACCCAGAAAGTCAAATTGGATAAACAAATGTCTCACCATCACTGTGTCTCAGTATTAATTTGAAAGCATCAGTGGACATGCTGAGGGGTAACACACAGACACACCCATGCCTGACCCGTGCCTTCTCACACAGGGCAGTCAGCCACTCAGAAGGGCTCTCCCCTTCCTTTCTAGCATTAGAAACTATTTGTATAATGTTAGTTAGTGAAGCATCACCCCATGCTATCCCAAACCTCTTAATTATTGATCCATCCTCCTTCAGGATTTCATTTTCTACTAAACTGGGGAAGTGAACTTTCATGTGGCTACCTGTGTAACCCAAAGCCTGAGGTAAGAAAAAGAGAAGACAAGACTTGAGTCATAGACCATGGACTTCAATTAAAGCAGTCTACTGTTTTACTAGTTACCTACTGCTTTACCAGTCAGTCTACTGCTTTACTAATTAGTCTATTGCTTTAATCAGTCTACTGCTTTACTAGTTAGTCTACTGCCTTAATAATTAGTCTACTGCTTTACTAGTTAGTCTACTACCTTACTAATTAGTCTACTACTTTACTAGTTAGTCTACTGCCTTACTAATTAGTCTACTGCTTTACTAGTTAGTCTACTGCCTTACTAATTAGTCTACTACTTTACTAGTTAGTCTACTGTTTTACTAACTCTGGTGGTATATAAAGAGGTATCTAATGGGGTAAGCAACAACTCCTATGGGCTCATATAAGGATATCAAGTTTTATTTAACACGTCCTTAAAATTCTGTTTATGTCACAGATAACACTCTTTGTCCAAAGCTTACAACTTGCATCTATACTGACTTTAAAATTTTCCCTTATTTGCTATCCTCCTTCTGATTGTGGAAATTTGAATGACAAATGAGATCATTTATCAAAGGCAAAACCAGATATAGGGTCTAGTGTACAACTCAGACAATTCACATTTTGAACACCCAAGATGTCAAGTGTACAGAACTATAAGTATTTAAAGAAAGTTTGCTTTTAATATGCAAATACATTAATAGGCTACTTAGCTATAGTTGTTAATACTATTATTGTTGTTGTTATATAGTTGTTCTAGTACCTGGTGATCAAACCCAGTGCATTGTGGGGGCCACACAGGCATCCTAAAATACAGCTGAATCCCCAGGCCTAATGTGAGTAAGTGCAGTAAGGGCACTGATTATAGCATTTAACTTTAAGCATTTAAGATATAACTATTATCTATTCTGTTTTGAGGCAGGCTGCCACAAAGAAGTCTAGGCTGGCCTGAGCTCACTTTGTAGCATAAGCTAGCTCTGATCTTGTGGCATCCTGCCTTAGGCATCTCAGTGCCAGTATTATAAACCTAAGTCACCACACCTGGCTTTGTAATTTTAACAGACATAAGAAATCATGCCCCAACTCTAGAGACTTGGATTCTGCCCCAGCAGGAATAAATCTTAGCAACCTGAATTTTTTAAGAGTCCTCTGGGTGACATGAACGAATAGCTCCGGGCTATAGAAATACTACTTCACCACATAAACTGTTTCGAGAAGGAAATCTGGTCTTTTCAGTTATCCTAACACCTTCCATGAATCTGTGTATGAAATGACAAAAGCTTTTCATTGCTAACACAAAGCAACCATAAAACATACACCAAAGGAAAACAGACACAAAATAAAACAATGCTCTGTACCTCTTCAAAGTCATCTTTGGCTGAAGGAAGGTCAGTGGCTAAGCTAGAGTCCCCCAGGCTTTTCTCCATCCTTTCTCCATGTACCACTGTAGTTTTAACAACTTTGCTGACTCTACGGCCTTCTACTGGTTCGGCCTGAAACTGTGAGGTACTGGACAAAATGCTGGGTTCAGACAAGCACACCTAATGAATGAAGGACACATACAGACAATTCCCAATGGCCAAAATGGAACAAATAATGGTATTTCTGTGAAATAAAATGGTTGTAATACTGGCCTCTTTAAAAAAAAACAGTAGTTAGGAACAAATCTCATCAATTGGTCTATTTAAGGGTATATTGCCATAGCACAGTTAATGGGCTATTTGAATAAAATCTTACCAGTCACATTTCTAAAAGTCTGGGCACAATGTAGATTGACAACCTACGCTTAATCTCTTTCCCACAATTAATTTTATCTCCTTTGAAACATGAAGATAAAGTCAACCCCTGAAGGGAGAGCTTGAAAAGTCATGAGAAATCAAAGTAGATAACTAGACAGCTTTGTGTGTATAATCGTATGATTTTTGAAGATATAAATAAACACAGAACAGTAAGAATTTCAAATTATGTATCTAAGAGAACCAGCGCGTATGGTAGTCTCAAGGCTTCAAGCAATGAGGTAAAATGGAAAGTAATAAATGGTGTAAATCGAAGTGTTTCAGATCATACTTTTATTAACCTTGAAACTCATAAGTTTGAGTGTCAACAACATATCTAAAGTGATCCTTGGAATGCTGGTGTGCCAAGAAGGGCCAATCACTGCAGTACATTTGGGCACAGTCTCTTTATAACACATGCCTGGCCAGAAAATAGATTTGAAATTTGACTTCTGGTTTCTCCTGTAATCAACTAAGAATGAAATGCAACACAGAAATGAAGAAAAGCAAATACAGACAATGAGTACAAGGAGCACATGAAATGAAGATTCCGTGGGAATAGACAGGTTTTTGCCTATGTTTTGTCTTTCTCTACACAATGAACTCTGCAGAGCTGGGTGGCCTCACCTCTGATTGCTGTGTGTCACTCTTCAATACCACACGCTTTATCACTTTGGAATAACTGTCCCCATCCTCAATGTTGACTGGCTCCTGTGGCGTTCCCTGCATCGTAATCTCCTCCTGCTCCATGCCATCAGAGGATACGTACCGCCTAATGATTTTCCGGGTAACCTGAAAAACATTTCATGTGGCTGTCTTATGTTTGAGTTAGGGTACCCACACTAGTGACAGCATTTAAACAGGAAGTGTGATAACAGCCCTGTACAGAGCCATTGGCTAGTACCTTCTTCACCACGGTGTGTCCATTCTCATCAACGTATTCCTCTTCTGTGACAGTTTCTGGGGGTATTTCAGGCATATCATCTCCCTAAACAGTGGGGGTGGGGGAGAAAGCATTACTTAAGTGTCTGGCACTGTCCTGAGGAACTACATCCAAGTGGTTTTGATGTGAGGAATGTTAGAAAACCAAAGGTCATGTTGCGAAGTATTGCTGAGATGCAAAATCCTGTGAGTTTGATTAATTAAAAAAAGAAGCAGGTATGTTAGCAGAAAGAAAAAAAAACATGCTCAGGAGAACCTTACCAAAGTTAGGGAAAATTTAATCAAACAACAAAAACGAATAAGAAACGAGGCAGGCTCAACCCTAGAAGCCAATCCTTCTGCGTGCTGGCTTGAGGAGGAGGGCTGCAAACATCCTTGGCTCTTTACATCCCCTTAAAAATGAGGGAGAAAGAGAGGAGCTGCTTTCCACGCATGCACTACCTATGGAGCATGCTCAGCCTCTGTTGTTCCAGATCTCATTTAGTGAAGGACACAACTGTCCCAACGTGCAGGAACTTAATACCAGGTACCTGGATAATCACTCTCCGGCGGACAACCCTGGTAGTTACCATGGCCTCCTCATCAGAGCTGGCCTCCAGCTCTCCTAATTCCTCTGTTAGCTCCTGGTGGAAGCACGTATGAATTATTGTTTTTAATTTTATTTTTAATTTAAAAATGTAATCAAAAATTTTATTTGGTTTTCAAGACAGGGTTTCTCTGTGTATCAATCCTCCTTGTCCTGGAGCTCACTTTATAGACCAGGTTGGCCTCAAACTCACAGAGATCTGCCTGCTTATGCTTGGCAAGTACTGGGATTAAAGGCATGTGCCACCACCGCTGAGCTTCAAAAAAAAACTTGTTTGAGATAGGATCTTACTTGGTAGACCACCCTGTCTTGAACGTACAATCATTCTGTCCCAGACTCATAAGTGCCGGGTTTACAGATGTGTGTCACCACACCTGGCTGCATCCTTTTGTTTAATTTGCCATTAAATGACTTTACTACTGGTTTCTTTATTTGTCCATATCATATTCTGAAATTTTATGCAGGGAGATATTGATGGAAAAAAATGTGTGGTGACCTCAAGCCTCAACAAGTGTGGAGTCTTACTGTTTCCAGAATCATAAAGAAATCCTGCAGTCTGAGAGCAGTTGGAGAAGCCACCTGTCAAAACTGGTCCCAAAGAGACATCTTTTCCCACATGAATTCTGTGCTTAAGTTTAATAAAATCTGAGTGAAAATACAGGACCTAAGTAGCATACAAAACACCTGTGACATATGGGCCAGCCTTTACTAGGCAAGGAATTCTAATCTCAAGCACAGAAAACCTCATATTTATAGCAGAGCTTTCTCCAGTAAGTTAAATTTCCTCTAGCTATTAGTTAATAGTACATTTTCCTGGCATCAAAGATTGTAGGCTTTGAATAACATTGAACTAGTGTTTTTAGAGATGCTGAGAATATTCTCTTTTATGAGTTTGATCAAAAGCCAGAGATGAGGCCAGGAACATAATTTTAGATTGAAAATATGCTTTAGGAGTCATAAACAGAGACGGTTTTTCCTAATGGAACATGATTTCCTTCCTCCTTTCCCCTCTCCTCCCCTCTCCTCACTTCCTTTTCCATCCCCTTCTCTCCCTCCTCCCTTCTTCCCTTCCAATTTTTTTCAAAATCAAGCTATGTTGTATCCCACACAGGTTTTAAACTTTTGACCCTCCTGTATCAGCCTTCAGAGTACTTGGATGACTGGTGTGGACCACCATTCTCAGCTTGGAGTACCTTTTTCTTTTTTTTTTTTAAGGAAAAGAGCACATACACTCAATTAGCTTAAAGACACAAAATACCCAAGCTATATCTTGGCAATCTTCTTTTCTAAAGAAAAAGATATAAATTAAGAGCCAAATTATGCATTAAATAAATCAGGAGCCTACTGCTAGTAATATGGTCAGCAACCAAAGTAAATAAAATGACATGTTGTAAGAATTTAGGGATTCACAAGTGAAGTGTGTGAGAGACAACTAGAAATTCATTGAGATAAGAAGGGGCTATGAAAACCCTAGGATGCACAATAGATTACCCTGAAACATGTCTGTACAATCCAGAATATATGAATTTTCAGATGACCTTCAAGCCTGTATCTCATGCTGCCCATGGATTTTTCTGGTAACATTTTAGCCTGACAGATTAACCAAACCTTTTTCTAGTATTCAATTAGGCCAGGAACTTGAGATGGTATTTTTGTACAAAGACAAATGAGGAGTAAACCTTAACTCATTGAATGACCACATTCTTTAAGGATTTCCCACGATGAAATCTAGGCTAGCAGGGCAACAGCTAAAGACTGGAACTGTGTACTCCTTTCTCTAGATTTACAAGAGCGCAGACTGTCAAAGCTTAGGGGTTTCTTATGTTCCAGCCTTTCTATTATGAAAGTAAAAAAAAAATAAGAATAAAAAAATAACAGAACTGTCAATAGAAACAGAAAACTGTGTAGCTTTGGCACAGGTGAGGAAGGACACATTGAGGAAGTCTGACCTTTTGAAAAGCTGTATCACTGTCTGGTCTTTCCAAGACCTGGGCCTGGTCATCTGCTGACTCCACTATCACCAAGCTGGTTTTCCTTGGAGACCTCTCCTCTTTGGGCTCAGGAACTTCCTCGGGTTCTTGGACAATGGGAGAACCATGCTCGCTAGTCACTGGGGTCTGGAGACAAGATTTTGCTTCCTCTGGAGGGGTACTGATGTCCTCAGGAGTCTTACAGAGAGAGTCAGGAACTGCTGTGGCTTTTTGAGTCTCTGCCCCTTCTGCCCCTGGTGTTGTCACACTGGAACAGAAAAGTCAATTTGCCACTCAAGAACACTGGAAGGAAAAATAAAATTTCTCTTCATTGTAGCCAAGATAATATGCACTCATGTATGCACACACGTACACACACACACACACACACACACACACACACACACAATAAACCTGAAAAAAAGTTTTAGATAACATATTCATAGATAATGATTTTGAAGAAGGTAAGAAAATTTAGCCAAATGAAATAAACCTATATTAATGTAGTTAGTGTAATTATGAACATGAGGACGCATAATTGTATAACTATTATTTAATGGAAGGACCTGTTGACACTCTCTGGCAGTTTGGAGTAACTCCTGTGCAGCTTTTCAAAACCTCAGTTTGTAAATAAGAACATCCTTTCCCTTTTCTCTCCTTACTTTGTATCCAACAGTTTTCTGTCCTGCTACTGAAAACAAATGCCCCAGATGCACATTTTACTCTCTCTATTTCTTTTCCTTACCTTTTCTGTGTGTACTCACTTGGACCTTATGGGCAGGTAAAGGAGGAAAGTGCCTGAGAGGGAGAAATCATTTCATGTCTCTTCCTTCTCATGTTCCGGTTACAGGAGAACAAAACTCAGTGTCAACAGAAGTACTGTGCTGTGAGCTCTTGACACCCTAAGGTTGCTTCTCCTGAGCCACTTTCCTTTCCGGATGGCCATGTCACCCAGGCAGCTCTCTCCTTTACCTGGTTAAGTTCTGGGCTAAATGGTTTTCTAGGGTTTCTTTCCAGCGGACAATGCCTCCCTATCCTTACTCTAACTCTGCCTTCTTTCAAACTAAGGGTGTTACATTCGGTTTGCATGATCTATACCATACTGATGTTTTTCTACTTAGATGCTACATAGCTTTGCTGAAGTACTGATGGGCTGCCGTTCCTGCACCATCACTGCTAAAACCCCAAGGCAGCCATGGTACCATGTGGGCACATTCCAATAAGACACAACAATCCTACAAGTAGTGACTGTGGTTTGCAAGGAGTACACCCAAAAGGTGATTCACAGGCTGATCACTGGCCCTGAACCTGTTAAAAATATCTAGATGTGGAAATGGAGACTTGGAGCACTTTGAGATTGTTCAAAGTCACAGAACAGGAAGCTGGCTCAGGTAGGACAGTGCCACACAACACAATTATGTAGCTTGACTGCTTCAGCTTTTCTACAGAAGAGTATCTGCCTCTTCTGGCCCTGATGCTGTCACACTGGAACAGAAAAGTCAGTTTGCCACTCAATAACACTCTCCCTGCCACAGAAGATTTCCTTTGGAGTTGTATTTAACATACTTTCTTCTGAAACTCACTAGTATTCCTGCTGGTCTTGCATTTTCCCTGAGAAATCTTGTTGAGCTGTCTCCGGGTGCATTTGGGGAGAAAGTGTGGCTGCTGGGCTGTCACCCTCAGTTTTGGGGATACAATCTTGAAATGTGGAATAACCAACAGAAATGTCTTCTTCAGAGACCACGGGTGGGTGATCACTGGACTCGCTTTCTTTAGAAGTTGCTTGCTCTTCTTTCTGCTTGTGCTGGGCAGCACAGAGCTCCTCTTGAAGTACTGAAAACCCTGCAGGGAAGAGTAATTGAAAATGTTGAGGAATCTCACTTACACTAGATGATGTAATTTTAAAAAAAAAGCAGTTTAGGAGAAAAAGATGCCCTGCGACAAAGCTCATGTGGAGGAGTTTTTTATTAGAGGAAGGGAATGGGAAAAGGGGGAGAGAAGAGAGAAGACCAGTCTCTGGGGATAGGAGCACCAGAAGAGAAAATAAGGAGGGACAGAGAGACAGGCAGAGAAGCAGAGAAAGAGAGAGAAGGAGAGGGATGGATGGATGGAGGGAGGGAGGGAGGGCATCAGAAGGAAAACGGAACTGGAGGACCCACCCATGGTAGGGAAGAATGAATAGAGTGGCTACCAAATGGACAGAGAGAAACTGAGGTGGCTTGGAAGTAAATACACCATCACCAAAGGCTATACTCTGTTGCAAAAAAAAAAAATGTAGGCAGCAGGCCCATCTCCTAAATTATCCCCTACCCCCAAGAGACATCACTTGACCTTCACTGTGGTCCAGTACAATGGTCTGCTCCATTTCCGCATAGCTGCGGCCCATGCGTTCCTGCAGGGGTTCTGTGTTGGTCTCCAGGAGATGTACAATATCCATCCTGTTGATCTTGGTGAGGCATTCGATGAGGATAGTATCTGGGACATTAGAGAAAAGGCATTCTTTACATGTGAGGGGTACTCTTTTTAGGATCACTTTCATTCAGTTGCCTTGCTAAGTTCTTGGTATTTTTAGCCAAGCCTGGCAAACTCTAACTAGCTCCTTTGTAAACAGAGGCAAATAGCAATACATGGACCCTACATACCACAAGCCCTGAAGGCAGAGTTGCAATCCGGATTCTAGGTTAAAAACAAAGACTATCTCTCAACACTGTGTGGAATATATTTATATTAAAAGATGTTTGATTGTCTTCTGCTTTTATTGGCTAAACTTGACAATGCTGCTAAAAAGGATGTTGGGAAAAGAAACAGCAAGAGACATGAAGGCAGACCTTCACAGAGACATGAAAGGAAGGGCTGAAGCTGCGTGGCAGCCATGGTCCACCTCATTTCCCAATTTGTCCCACCGTCATCACACAGAGTGCCCATTTGATTCTCCTCCCCGACATACAGAAATTACCAGAGAGGAATGGAAACATGAACTGCAGGCAGTACACTCCCTATGAATAATTATAACCATACAACTGTGCCCACTAACTAATACTTAGAGACTGTTAGGTCTCAGTGAACTTTCCACAGAAGCTGGTACTCATATCATTGCCGTTGTTCACAAACTTACCATGCAAGGTTTCTCATGGAACACTATTCTACAAAAAGAAACGGTAACAGCTTGTTCTCCTTCGCTGACAGTGGTTCTTAAAATTGATGACTTTTGACAGTTTATCTTACTGAATCTGTAAGAATGGGATCGATCGTTCGGTGATCTCCTTCCACCTGAGTCTGACACCTCTACCTTGGGGTTTCTCCACCTACCTGTGGCATGCTTCCCGTCCCTCTCCAGCCAGTACTTCAGCAGTGCATGGCTCTGGTCTTGAAGGGAGTTGGGGTTCTCAATTCGAATTTGGTGAATTTGCTCCTCAGTGAAATCCAGTTCTCTTGCTAATTCTAAAATAATAACGACAAAATGTTGCATTGTCCACACACTGACTTCCTCTTTGAGTCTCCACACCTTGCTTCATGATGCCTAAGTGATAAGGTCTTGTGCTGCTTTGAGCATTTAGGTTAGACGTGACCCACACACCCCTTTATATATTGAGACTAACAATCTGCCCCTCTTAAAATTGGGTATAGAACTAATTACTGCCATTGCAGAAATAGCAAAGGTGAAGGAGTGATGGTAAATGTGAATGGAGATTCAGACCATTATCACTTGTTTAGATTTTTAATCAAGATAATGAAAAATAAGTGACTGAACAGAGAAGTGAAGCATTTCCCACTTTTGTAGGTTTTCAACTTCAACAAATCCTGTTTCTGGAAATGTGTACAAACATTTGTTGTAGCTAATTTACAGGGATTGGGTATGCTCCTCTCTTTGATGTATATGAAGGAAGGGTCTGTGAAATTGGTGTAGAAAAAAGGTCAAAAAGATTTCTTTAAAAGATGGGAATAGTGGTACACACCTTGAAATCCAGGACTTAGGTGGATCTCCGTGAGTTTGAGGCCAGTCTGGTCTACATAGCAAGTTCCAGGATGGCTAGGACTACATAGAAAAATCCTCTCTCAAATGTACCTCCATAAAATGTTTCTTTATTTTACTATAAACATTCTATAGGAATACTTGATGCTTGTGCATGCTATTATAATGTGTAGGTATGCATTTGTATGCAAAAGCAATGACTTCTATAGTCTACCTGGTATTGAAATATTGAAAATATTCTTCATCTAGTAGTTCTATTTTAGAAATGTATTTCCTTTTCTTTCATTCTGTTATGTTACAAGGTTTAAAATTTTGCCACCTTTATACTTAATACACTTAGTGTGTGTGGGTGGATGCATACATATTCAAGGAAAAATACATATCTAATATGCCAACAAGAGATATTTTGGTATCATTCTCTTCTCTAAATCCTTATATCAATATTATCATAAAATTACCAAAAGTGAGAAAATGGCTGTTCCTACTGCTTCCAGTCATTTATTCAACATTATCAATCATCTTTGAGGATAAGTTCTCAGCAAGGAACCACAGTACTGATCATCCAAGAAAGGAAGTCACTTAACCAAGTATCTGATAGCTATCATGGTTCAGGTCATATGAAGTGGTGTGTTTTCTGTTTTCTGGGGGCAGAATGGGGGAATGAATCCCATGTGGTTCCCTTCTAAATCTGAGAAACTGATAGAAAAGTAGTAACTTTGCACTTTTTGTCTCAGTAAAGCATATCCAAGTGATATTTAAGAAACCAAATGAGAGTCCAAAATAATAAATATGAAAGTAACCTAGGCTACATATTGCCTAATATTAAGTCACAGGCAGATGGAACTATATTTTAAATTTATAAACCATGATTTGTAAATAACAGTATGGATATTAAAATTCACCTTCTCTTAATAAATTACTTAACAGATACTCTATGCTTCAACATCCCTACCTCAAAAAAAATGGTGCAACATCTCATTCATGTGCATTTTAACACTCACCCAGAGCACATGTTAGTGCTATTTACTATGAAGATACCTAACATCAAACATCAAAAATAAGCACCCCTGGTAAAATCTCAAATGTTATTAATATTGTCTGGCATGGTAATTCAGACCTGTATTCACAACACTGGGGCAGGGGGAGTACCATAAGTTTAGGCCAGCTTAAGGTATATAGTGAGTTCCAGGTGGACCCCTGAGCTGTATATTAAGAACCTGTCTCAGAAAAACAAAAACAAAGATTATAAAAATTAAATCTAAAATTGTGTGAAACAGGGTATCTTCCCATAGCTTAGCTAACCATAACTAGTAGAAGAGGATGGGTAAATGGGTTTATTCTCAAAGTCTTCAACTCTAAAGTTCTAAATTCCAAAACTGTTGAGAACCCTAAGCTCAGGCCACACCATTAGCTATTGCAGTTGGATTTTTCAACTTGTAGATTTTTTTCCCTCACACTATTCTTTCCACAAGAAAAATTAAGAAAAACAATCTTTAACTGATTGTTTCTGGACAATTACCTGTCCAGCTGAAGCCAAGATGATCAGCAATGTAAGCCAGCCTTTCTTCAATCCGTTCCTGGTCATCTTGGGGATCTACAGAAGGTCAGAAACAGAATGGCCAAAGAGTATCTGGGACAGCAAGGAACCACAGTACTGATCATCCAAGAAAGGAAGTCACTTAACCAAGTATCTGATAGCTATCATGGTTTAGGTCATATGAAGTGGTATGTTTTCTGCTTTCTGGGGCAGAATGGGGAATGAATCCCATGTGGTGACTTGTGGAAACCATCTGCTTCCATATCTCTTTAATGAGGACTGCTAACTGAACAGAACGTCCAGTTATCTCAGGGCTTTCCTTTTACACTCTTGGAACAAAAAAAAAAAACTGCCCACCAGAGCATACTCATTTTGTAAATGAAACACCAAAAAACTCACAAGTGGCATGTAGAATTGGAGTCAGTGGTTGAGCTCTACTACTAATGCCTGTGGAGGTGTCAATCACCATCAGGTCCTGTCTGAAAGAAAGCACTAAGAATTATCTTAGTCATGGTTAGACAGACAGGAACAACACTGTCCTAATGACCTTGGAAGAAGACAAGATAAAGGCATTTGAACTATGTAAGTTCTGCTGCTATGATATTTGCTTCTGAGGCAAAGTTTCTGGATGTCTCTTCCTAAGTAAAGTCATAGAGTTCTCGCTACCACAAACTAGAATTCATCTTATTCCCTATTTAACTACTGTGGATTGATGGGCAGCATCAGGAAATTCTGTCACCCACATTTAGGAATTAGTCTTCATTTAGAGATAGTGGAAGCCTGCAGGTTACCTCTCAAAGCCACTCATGGTTTCCTTTTTTTGCAATTCCAAGAGCCATCATTCCCTCACATCGTGCAAAGTTTGAGATTTTGTTGTCTGCTAAATCTCATCTGAACACATTCACAATCCACCTGCTTCACAAGTCAAAAGTGGATTTTTACCTTTCGTTTGCTTGCTTAATTTGGTTACCATGGTATCTGAAAGCCAACCTCTCTGAATTGGAAAACAGACCCACAGTAATTAGAGTTTCAGGATGTGAGCAACCTTTTTGAGTAAAGGGCTTTTTATATCCTGACAAAATTGAATGCACCAATTATTTAATGTACACAAAGAAAAGAGAGAGAGCACTGAGTCCTTGGGCTGGAAAACCCACATGCTCATGTGCAAAAGCAGTGGCTTTAACTCGAGGCTAAGCCTGGGACTTCAGAACAACAAAACTCAAAGCTTGTATGGCTTTACGTGCAGCAGCTAAAGAAAAGCAAGGTCCCCCGTTGCTTGGTTATGTTTATGTTTTTGATAAGCATTCTCATTACTCAATCTTGAGATTGTTTCATAGACAAGAGTATACAGAAAAAGCACAAAACACAAAGGGCTTACACAAACACATTAACCACTACAGAAAGCTTAAAGGAAATGAGACACAAATCACAAAATAAAAGAAACAATACCAAAAAAAAAACTCTTATCAAATTTATGACATGCGTAGCACAGGGAATCCCAGTGGCTGGCAAATACCTTCAGCTCGGTCATGGCCATTTTCATCAGGGATGCGTTCAATCATAGTCTCAATGGACTCATCCCAAATGGGCCTTGTGTCAAAGATGTCCTCGGGAACTGAATGCTCAGTTTCAACAGGTGGCAGATTCTCAATGACTGACACTTCCAGGGCACTACTACTTTCATCATCTGAAGGTGGCTCCTGCTCCCTTTCTGACTGTGTGAGCCTGTCCACTAATTTGGATGCCTCATCACTAATCTCCTCAAAGAATTCTATGGAGTTTCTATAAAGGTCAAAGAAATGCTCCCTACTCTCTTTTGTGGGGCTCACACCTGTCCTGCTGGAAGACGGGGTGCTTCTGCTCTTAACTGGTAATCGGGATGCAAATAGCTTTGGTTTTGTGGCCCCTTCTTCTGATTCTGACTCAAACCCTTCTGCTCTCTCCCTGCTCTCTGTTTCTGTCTCAATGTAACTCCTGGCTTTTACTGGGCATTTGGTCTTAGCATCCAGAGGACTAGCATCTGATTCGGATTTGCTTCTACCATCTGGGGCTCTGCTTAGCATGTCCTGTCCCTGGGGGACAGCTGTCTTAGTGAGAGATGTGTCTGGATAGGAGAGCTGGCATTCGGTTCTTTGGGTGGGTGCTTTGATGGGGATTTTGGACTTTGGTTTTGCTTCATCCTCCTTACTTTCCTCATCTGTGCCAGAAAATGCACTCTCATCCTCTGCAGATGGAGGGACCGGGACTGAAGTGGGGAGAGTCCTTAGAGGAATTTGAGGTTTGTTTTCAGCAGAAGGCACATTTTCCATGGGTGCAGTAGGGATCTCAATGACAGACTTCTGTTCCTCTGGGGAAGAATCTGGGGACTCGTCATCCCTATTTGAATGAACAGACCTAGTGACTGTGGAAAAGTCCAACTGAACAACAGGTTGGGGGAAGGTAGGGCAAGGTGTCTGCTTCACAGTGCTCAGAGAAGATGTATCACTCAGTTGCATGGTGGGGAGGTCCTCAACTTCTGTGGACGTAGCCTCTTTTATGGGCATTTCAGTGGAAGCTGAAGTCATCACTTGGGAGTCAAGGTTAGTATCCGAGACAGGTAATTCCTCTGTTTCCTCATTCACATCATCAGGAAGTAATTCTCCCTCATCATCCACTGCATCTTTGGATTCTGAAAGTTCCAGTGACTCACTTTTGCTTTCCAGCTGTGGTAGCTCAGCCCCTGTGGTCCCCTCCTTCAAGTCTTCAGGGATAGTCTCTTCATTGGATTCTTGACCAATTTGGAAAAAGTGCATATTTTCATCTGCATAGGACCTTTTGGTCATATCAATAGCACCACTTCGGGTCATCTCAAACAATTTTCCCTCCTGGAAGAGGAATGGATTTTGTTCACTTGTTGGGGTCCCCTCTTCAGTTGGGGTCCTAGCAGGAGTGGTATCAGGAGTGGTACCCTGTGATTGTCTGTCTACCATCAAACCCAGTATCTTCTGTTCTTCTTCTTTCACTCGGGCTTCAAAGACTTCATCATCTTCACGGATTTCACTCCAGGAGTCAGAATCTACATCGGTTCTTGTGATGATGACTTTGCTCACTTGCTCACCAATGACTGCCGATGAATTTGGTGTAGCGGGTGCTACAGATGAGGAAGGTACATCTGACTGCATTCCCCACAAGGTAGGTTTTTCCTCGGATTCAGTTTCTAGGCCCTGGCTCTCAAAATTTGATTCTTGGCTTGAGACAGTTCTACTAGAGGTGTTTGTCATTACAACATCCTCAGAAGAGGATCTGATGACAACAGAGTACACTTCAGGTGGACAAACAACTGTGGTGTGACATGTATCAGTTTGGATTCTGCTGTCCTCACCACAAAAAAATGAAGAGGAAGGAACATTTTCATAAGGACTGGTTATTTGAGGATCAGAATTTTCATCAGTCACAGCTAAATCAGACACCAGAATGTCCATATCAAACCTATTTGGTTGAGTTGGAGTAGATGAGTCTTGAGTGGGACAGTCCTTTGACATGCTCTCCAGAGTCTGATCAGTTGCTGTGACCTCTACTTCTACAGAGGAAGATGGGGAGGGTATTTCTTTAACTGATTCCTTTCTTTCAGATACTGCACAATGAGATGGAGAAGACAGGGAAGAGCTTTCCCTGGGGAAATCTGCCTGTGCAGATTCCACTCTAGAAGGAACAAGCTCTCTCCCTTCAGGGTCATTTTCACAAGTATCCTGGAGATCCAGTGACTCTTTATCAATGGCCAGCTGCTCGTCAACATCATTACATGTTGGACTCTGAACTCCAAGGGAGACAAGGGCAGCTGAGTTGCTAGGACTTACAGCCTCACAACCATGGCCATCACAGGTTTCTGACTGATGAGTCTCTATGTCCAGATCATCAGAAGACCTATCAACACCATCAGCAGAAGGAGTCTGACAGCCATCAGCTAAGGGAGATTGGCGATCTTTGTCTTCTTCTGACTTACCCGGCTCCTCTTGAATATCCTTGTTCATCTTGAAAGTGTATTGTTTGGAAACTATAGGCTGGAACTGTGATTCTTCAGGGCTGGAATTAGAGTCCATGCTGGACGGAAGGGGAGATGGAGGTTGCACTCGAATCACTGGCTCAGTCAGAAGCCCTGAGTCAGCACCTTTACTCAGCCGTGTCAGCTCTGGTTCACTTTCAGAGGAGGAAGAAGCTTTTCTGCTCTCCGCAGTCACCAAGACTGGGACCTCAGCCTCATCAACCGTGCTCTCCACCAGCTTCTGTTCATCCACTTCTACAGAGCAGTCAGCATCGGGGTCTGAGGCTGAAGAGGAGCCATCTTGCCTGGGTTCTTTTCTGTAATCCCTTTTCTGCTTCGCTTCCTGCTCAAGTTCATCAAACGTTTTTATTTTGGTTACCATCTTGAACATTTCCTCTTCTGGGGTGAACCTCTTCTTCTCCCCATTTTCAGAGTCCTCCTCCTCCGCACACTCATGAATCACAGCTGGTTTGGGTGTACTTGAATCTGAAGCCTTGGGTGTGACCTCGTAGCTAACTTCTTCTGAGCTGGGAGTATCAGGGGAGAGGGGGCTTTTCCCTGAGCTCTCCATGAGTGATGTCTGTTCAAGACTGTCATCCTCGGCACTGCCATCAGGGTCTCGGAGCAGCCGAGAACGCATGGAAGCCACTTCGGCAACAAGATCTGTTTTGGCAATAGCTGCAGGGAGAGGAAAGTGACTTGGGAGAATTCCAGCCTTCATTTTCGGCTCAACTGGGCTGCTTTCAAGGGAATCCCTGCAAGGGGACTCCCTCAGAGGACTTGGTTCCAGGGAATCAGGAGTTTTGTGTGAGGAGTTATCTTCCAGCACAGGGCTGGCTTCTAGAGAGTCTTTGTGGCTTACTGCTAATGATTCATCGGCCATTGGGCTGAGGGCCTCACTATCCCTGCTAGGGAGTGGAAGTTCTAACCCTTGGGGACTTCTAATAGCTCCCTGGGGCTTTGGTTCTGTTCCTTCACCTGCCTTCCCAGAAGCATCAGATGGTGAGAATGCCTTTGCCACCCCAGAGGGAGTCGTGGATTCCTGAGTTTCACTTTTTGGTTGTGTCTTACAAGCTGGACTAACAACTGGAAGCTGACTTTCCTCACAGGACCCTTTCTCAGTAAAGACCTGCCATGTTTCACCTGCTAATGATACACTGGGGCTGCTAGGGAAGCCATCTTGTTTGGAGCATACATCTTGGGAAGAGTCTTGGGTGACCTCCTTCTGACAATGCTCAGTAGAGGACTCAGAACCCCCAGTGACCACAGCACCTTTTGCTCCAGAACTATCGGTAGTGTCTTTAGATGTAGGTAGCTCTTTTTCTGAATGAATTTCTGTGGGCATTTCTACCTTAGTTTCCTCGATTTCTCCAATTTGTTCCTCACTTTTCTTCGGTGAGAAAGAAAGACTCTCTGGGCTTGTCTCGGGAGTTTCTGCTAGGCCCTCATGCTTGTAGCTCTCTTCTGAACTGATCTGAGGGGTGCCTTCCATCAGGCTGCCACAAGGCGAGCCTGCTACCACTTCCTGTTTCAGACTTTCAGAGCTGCCACCCAAAGCACCACTCTGTAAAGACAGAGCCGGAAGAAACTCGTCTTTCATGTAATCTAGTGGGAATGTTGTGTTGAAAGGACTTGTGATTACTTGGTCTAAGTGAATCTGAGCCTTTTCTGTCTCCTCAGTGAGGCGGAACTGCTGGTATTTGTCATTGTCTTCTAACTCTTGCTTGATGACATCAGAGAAGTCAGTGGAAGCCTTCCTGTCTGGGCTGATCTGAAGATCCATGTCTCCTTGCTCATCCACCATCTTGTCTTGAAGGATCTCACTGCCCCGAGGACTTTCTTGTGCCACCACTGATGGAACTGGCTCAGGGGTTTTAATAATGGGGACTTTCTCAAACTTTTCTCTAACTGGATCTTCTGTCCTGAGCCCAACGGTGATGGTAGTAGAACGGAACCTTCTGGATTCTGTAGCTCCCGTCACTGGAAATCTCTGGCCACGCTTGGTTGTCTGACTTTCTGTTCTCTGAGACTCTCTCTGGGCTACTGTGTGCCCCTTTTCTTTTTCTATGCGGGTTTTACTTTTGTCTTGTGATTGCTTTTGCTTTGTTGATTTGTGCTCAAAGAGTCCTGTTTTGTGTTTGGATGGGTCCTGACCTGACTGGAACGCTTTCATCAACTCCCGGACAGACATTGTCTCCTCGATACGTTCTGTTTTGGAGGTGGGAGATACGGGTGGCTGCTTTTCTGTTTTCCCAGGTGACACAGGCAGGTGCTTTTCACTTTTCCCAGCCTGCTTCTCTGAGGTTCTTGCAGAAGGTGAAACTGGCAAGCGTTTTTCTGTTCTCCCAGGTGACACTGGAGGGTGTTTCTCTGTTCTTCCAGATGATGGTACCGGAGGACGTTTGTCTGTTTTGCCTGAAGGTGACACAGGTGTGTGTCGTTCTGTTTTTACAGATGACACAGGGGAATGTCTTTCATTTTTTGTTGAGGGGGATCCAGGTGAATGTTTCTCGGGTTTACTTGACGACACTGGTGAGTGTCGTTCATTTTTTGGCGAGGGTGACACAGGTGAGTGTTTCTCTGTTTTGCTTGATGGTGACACTGGCGTGTGTCTTTCAGTTTTTGTGGAGGAACAGTGCTTTTCTGTTTTAGAGGAAGGAGATGATTTTGAAGAGGGTGACACAGCTGGGTGTGTCCTAGGCGTGGTCTTTTTAGACACATCCTCTTTGCCTTTGACTCTGACAGGCAGCTTGCTTCGACCTTTCTGCTCATCTTCTACCTTCTTCTGAAGGGCCTTTACTTTGTCCTTTATGGAACCAATAGGAGTTTCTTCTATCAGAGGTGAGGTGGCCTTGGCCGTGGGAAGGGGCTCGGGAGCCAGGCCTCGATCCTCCTCTACCGACTCCTCTGAACTACCTTTCTTCAGTTCGGATGTTTCTTCACTGCCTTGGGAACTTTCCTCTTTTTGTTTCTGCTTTTCTTTTAGTTTCCTGCGTACTGGCTTCTTTATCACCAGGCTTGGATTTGGCTGCTTCAGGGCACTCTGCTTCTCCTCTGCTGGCCCAGCCTTCCCTTTATTATTCTCAGAGGTCTTTCCGACAGCTGAAGCCTGACTTGTCTCCCCTGACTTTTCCTGAGCTGTTTGTGGCCTCTTTTCCTGAGGAGAAGTGTATGAATTTAGGTCTTCTGTAAGGTAGGTCACTAACCCAGTGGAGTCCTTCTCCGATTTGACCTTGGACCCTCTGTCTACTCTGACTTCTATGCATGGCAGTTCAGTGATTTCTCCAGGTGCATGTCGCTTGGCCTCTTGGATTTCCTCATCACTGACAATGACCCATTCCTCTTCTAGCTCCCGCTCAGACTGAGAAGTCTGTACTCTGCCTTCGTCTCTAACACAGGCCCCACTTCTCAGGATGGCGTCCACTTTCTCTAAGTCCTCCTTAACCCTCTCCACAATTTCGAACGGTTCGCCTGGCTCTTCGTCGGCAGCCCTTGTCAGCTCCTTCACTTTGATAGAACCTGCCTTATCAGACACATCTGTGGTCAAGATGGCCGTCATTTTGATCAAATCTTGTTTCATCTCAGAAACTTCAGAGAGCAAGTCCGGGCTTGCTAAGACAGGAACTTCATTAACCAGGTGGCTTTTCAGAACAGATGTTTCTGTTGACTCTGTCTCATCATCTTTGATGTGAATGAAAAACATTGAAAGTAAAATGGAAATCAAAAAAGATATCGGCAAATGTAATCAGGACCAAAACAACACAGCGTCTTTTCCTGGTGGTGGAAGGGGCAACAGAATGGGCTGGGAATGGTGGATCCACAAGGTCTCAAGGAACAAGAGCAAAGCAAGGCTAATGGAAAAAAATAACTGAAAAGGAAAATGAGCAGGAAATAACTTGCTTAATTTTCTCACTTGTAGCACATTCATACATACAACAAAGCTATCACAAATACTCAAGACATACATTAAAAAGTCACAAATCAAAAAGAAGAGCGCAGTGAAATTACACAGAGATATCTCAAGATTGTCCAGATATTACAGATTAATGTCAGAAAACAAAACAAAACAAAAAACCATGGGGAAAAATAAGAAAAAAAAGCATTAGAAATTGCAGAAACTCGATTTCCTCCCTGAGAAAGCCAGTAGGAGCAAATTCAGAATTGTGTCCAACTATGTCCATACATTGTAAATCCCACAGGTCTGGAATTTGGTCAGCATAGTCCTGCCACCACACAGTAATGGCAGAATATGCGTCTGAATCAGCTGCAGACTGGCATTTCATCGAAGGGAAATCCACACCTAACAATGACACACATCTCGTGCTGGGAGGCATGGCCCTTTCCTCGGAGGAACCTCCTTGTTTAGAGATGTAACAGACAGAACAAGGAGGAGGGTAAAGGAAAGGAAAGACAAATGACAGAAACAACAGTTGTGACTGAATGCATATGTGAGTCCAAAGTTAAAATGGTGATGCGTGGCAACCCAAATTAGAGACAGTCATACAGGACACACACACAGTTGATGTAAGCCAAGTTATTTCCATGCAAAGCAAAGGTGGAATAAAACTGCTAGGCAGGGGGCAGCCTTGCAGGAAATTGCAGGCAGGAGGGTGGTGAGAAATTAGAACGAAAAAATAAAATGTTACTGTGGTGAAGCAGATTTAGCTCCCTAACAATTCATGCATAAGGTGATCTGTGCAGTAGATTGGAGTCACAGGTGGTGAGGTTCTTTTAATCAATACAAATTCAAGAAAGCCCCAGGGTTGACTTACACAAAGACTTCAGTAATGCCTTACAAGAGAGCTCTTCTTTGAATGGTATTTTATAACTATATGAAGATTATGTAAGGGTTATCTTTAAACTAAAACCAAACATAAATCTGCATTTGAAATCTAGAAGATATTCAAAGTATCTAGGCGTCATTCAAGGGAATCCATGGCATTATAGCACATGGGAACATTCCTACCTTTTAAACTGGCCTAGACCAATAATTTTAATTCCTAATAGCTTGTATATAGGCGTAAAGGAAGAAACCATTTAAGTCAATACAATAATCCTAAAGAAGAAAGAGGGAGAGAAAATAAAAACACTTAAAAAAAATCAGTGAAGGTAACAATAATTTGTGTCATAAACAAAGTTGCTTTGTCTGGGGAGAATTTGTATTTATTTAGAGGCTAGCATGTGTCAATACATATGTAAAATATATTAAGATCAATTTACGGTAATGTTGATTGTTTAATTACATAAATTATTGAAGACATCAGAATCTCAGTTTCATCTTGAATGAGAAGGAACATGAGGATAAACCTCAGTTAAAGCCATTTCAATAGGACAGCAGTAAATTACAGTGAGCTAAGACTTCAGACCAACAGGCCCTAGTTGGTGACGATTTTGTGAGGCTTAGGAGGTATGGCCTTTCTGGAGTGTCACCAGGACTGGGCAGGCTTTGAGGTTTCTACAGTGTTCAGTCTGCCTGTTTGTGGTTTCCAGGTTCAGGTTCCAACAGCCTACCACCTACTACCTCTGCTCTGCCATCATGGACTCTAACCCTCAGGGACTGTAAGCCCAAAATAAAACTCTTTCTTTGGTGAATTGCTTTGGTCATGGTGTTTTTAATCACAGACACTGAAAAGCAACAAATATAATTAGATAGGGTTAAATGACCTTGAAATGTGGCTCTGTGTTCTTTCCTTTCAGAATTGTTACCCTGGGATATGATGAATCAAAATAAATCTTAACACTTAATAAAATAAAAATTAGAATACTTTTCTCAGGTGGTTTAACACTTAAGGTAGAGAAAAAGCTGTAAAATTCAACTTGGGTTTCTACATTAGATGAAACAGTCACAGGGACTAGGCTAAAAATGTTAATGGACTATCACAAACCTTAGGTGAATTTAGGGCTGGTGTTACTGTACCAGGTTTTCTTGGAATTTTGAGTTGTTATTTAAACATAGCCACACAAGGACCCACTGTAATTGGTAATTGCATCCAGTATATTTTAATTTTTGCATTCTTTATCTTTTTTGTTTTCTTTCCTTGAAAATGTTCACAAAATTCTGTTAGATGTCATCTACAGATTTAGGTATACTTCACCACAGTAAGAATGCAAGGATAGTGGGGTGTAGGGGGTGGGGTGCGTGAGCTTCAGCTAAGATCTATGAGACAGTATCGCTTTTGTAGACATCCTTCCAAAGGCAAGACTCTCTACAGAGGTCACTGTAGTTTTATGTAAAAAGTAATACTGTCATGTCAGTACTTATAAAAAAGAATGAGGTGACAATGTTATGCTAACAAATGGACAAAAACGGTAGAGTAGCTTTGTAAACAAGCTTGACAGCAATGCCAGGGGTTACAGGGATGTCAAAAGAAAGTGAATGCTTAGATGAAAAATCATTGCATTTATTGCTAATTAGATCACAATTAGGAATATTTATGATTTAACTGGCCAAGCTGCTTTATAAGTGTATATTAATGATTAATAAGAATTACATAAAATACAATTATTTTGGTGGTTAGTAATGGCAACTAGCTTGCATCTTAATTCATGCTTCTTTTCATTATAGCCAGCTTTCAAACAAACTCAATTTTATTTAAAAATCTTACTTTTTTCTGATGTCATACCGATCTGAAAGAAAACATACACAAATTCAATGGTTACACACAGCTCTTGCCTTTATGTGCACCGTAAGATCATATTTGTAATTATGCACATAAGAGTGAATTATAAACTAGAAGAAAGTCAGAAGCATGGGCTACAGTTCCATATGTACAATTAAGCATATATTCACACATTATTTCTAGATACTACAGAAAGAGTATGTTACACTTGGGAAGAGATGACCCCACTGTGTTTGATGTGAGAAATGCATATTAGGGGAAAGGTCATGAAAAAGGTAAAGTCAGTCTTAAGCAGTAGGTTCCCATTTAATGAGGAAAAAAAAAGAATGGCAAAGTGTGCTGGGTGATAAATTCTACCAAAGTCATTTCGTGACAGCAGTGAGCCACTGCTCCAAAGCTTTTCACATATTTCTTTTAGGACGAACAGAAACTTCCTGAGTGTATTTCACAGGAAATACTGTTTATCTGATAGAAATGGTTTGTCTGTGAACACAGAAAAGTTGGTTTCATCATTTTTATGCTCTTTTGGGGTGTAGTTGTCACATTTAAGAGGCAGGGTGACAGAATCACTGAGTACTGAGTGGGTGTGACAGTGGCACACACAGGGAGACCAGTCACACATCTGCTGGTGTGTGACTGCCATTCCACATCTGTTCTCTAGCTTCCGATGACAGAAGGGGAATCTGAAACAATCCCCTGAACTAAGACCAGGCATTGTGAGTTGGTAAGTACAGAGCATTTATTGTGTTTTTTTTTGTATTTTTACATTTCAAATGCATTATCATAACATTTAAAATGGTATATTAAAAATGTATGCACTGGTGATAATTAGTTTGGAAACAGTTGAGCACAAGAAGGAAACAAGGAGTTGCTATATTCATGAGTAAATATAAGGAGTTTTCCAATGATTTCTTTCATTTCTGTCATAATAGTGGTAGTTTCAAACCTTTAGAAAGAAGCCACTTTGCTTTAAAAATTGAAGTGGATATCATTCAGATATGTACTTTTTGCAAGTTACCCTCATTAGAACTTGTTTTCTATATCTGTATGTAACTTCCCACAGAAGGCAGGAGAGAGAAACCCATGCTGATGGGGTATGTGGAACACTGAGTTTTGCAAATATACTTTATGAGGAAATGTTCGTTATTAGTATATGTTTATATCATACTTGTGGAATCTAGTGAATGGACTATGTGTTCCTGAAAGTTAGTCTTAGTGATTCTCAGACTTGGTGTTAGGACCACAGTATACTTCTAACGTTACTTTCGTTTACATAAGCTACACATAAACCAATCTGCATACTGCAGTTAAGAGCTGAGAGGATTCAAGAACCCCACAAATACACTAGCACACACCCCAGCAATTGCCGGAGTGCTGAAGTCATCATAGTCCCACCCTCAGGAAAAAAAAAAAACTCTGTGTCTGATCACTGTTACCTTCAGACATGCTCAGTCTAGCTTTGAGTATCATTGAGACAATGGCCTGGCCTTTAGGAGTTGGTAGAGAAATATATACTATTACATAGAGGGCTAAAATAAATAAGGAAATTTATAGTTCTCTGAATGCCATTCACAAGACAGAAAAAAACCATAAAAGCGGGAAATTGACTAAAATTCTGTTCATCTAATTGCTGAGAACAGCTGCCTACTCTATAAAATCAGAGGTCAGCCATATGCTCTTGTTAGTGACTCCAACAATGACATAGTCAGGAACAAGTGACGCTGTTGCAAAATTACCTCTTCCTCCTGCTCTTGATCTGACTCTGATTCCTTGATGCCACAAGATGCCATGCAAGATGGAGAAAAGAGAAAAAAGAAAACTTTTAGAAGGAGTAAATACACAGCATCTACAAGCATCAAGGCAGGCACACAGTGCACTCAGACTGTTTTCTTAAACAGTTTATAGAAGACAGCTAGAAAAGATTGATCAAAGTTCATACATTCAAGGAGACAAAAAGAACAAATGATAAATATACTAATCCCAGACCCTAGGCTACCAGCAGCCTCAAATCTTTATATTTAATGCGTCTGGTGGAATTGATTTACAGAAATGGGGGTGACACTATCCCACTTACTATGAATACTGACTGGAAATGTCAAATGCTACTAGTAAGTTTATGTTGCAAACATTTTTCAATACTCAGGCACTATACAAGTTTTATCATAATAAAAAGCTACTAGATTCTCAGTATACCATAAATACGTAATGTTTGGCATTTTATTCTTTTCATCTTGAGTTACTAAATAGAAACCACTCCTGACCACCATAGATAGCATTAATAACTCCATGACCTGTATCTGGCCTCAAAATATATAAAAGAAAGTAAATGCATTCTTTCACAGCATATGGGAAGCTCAGAGACTAGAGAAAGCACATTGGCACTGATATCTCTGGGTGGCCTGTGCATCTCTCCTCAGACACTCTACTCCCAGAGACTAAACACTAAAGAGCATTTGTGTCATGGGATCACGTTTCTTTGGTTGATCTATCTATTGCTACACTCCAATTGCATTGAAACATCATGCATGTTATATGTGGAAATGGATAATAAACTTATCTTTAACTTTTAAGAAGAACTAATAACATCAAATATATGCTAGGAGTCTTTTTCTATATAACTGATTTCTCTTCCCAAGAATGAGCATTCAGAACAATACTTTACTGCGGCAGCTATGATGGGGTAAAGATAACACAGAGAATTCTTGGCTTTGCAGACTTGGGATTGAAAGTTTTAAGTATTTCCTACTTCCCCTCCAGCACCGGCTACTCATCCCTTTGCCAAGTACAGAACAAACTGAGTGCTTGTAGAAGCTATGCACAGAATGCCATAGCCACTTGCAGCTGGCTATTTTAAAATGACATTAGTTTAAAGGGAAAAAAAAACTTTCAGAATAAGATTTCCCACTCACTTAACTGATTCAGTCACCTTCTTTGATACATTTATAACAGTCAAAAGTATTATATCATAGAGAAAGAGTTAGATACAAAATGACCTTAGGTAGATTTGCATCAGGAATTAACCAACCTCCTTCTAGTGCTGCATCAAATGAACTCCTCTCAAGAATATGTTTTAATTGAAAAGCTGGTTTAAAATTCTTAAATCATTAAAACAGGACAGGCTATATTATAAACAGGTTATTACTTCAGGAAAAGGTAAAATCCTAGTAGTATGCTCTGAACCTTCAAGCTGACCCGGCTCTGAGTGGGCACTGAGCAGTAGCTAACACACTAACCTGCAGGTGGGAGGCAATGCACCAAGTAGCCTCAGGAGTGCACACAGAAACAAGGACAGGGATTGACAATGCCAATTATTTTTTCTTTACAACTTAACTTAAAAAGCATTAAAGTTAAAACATTTTTCTCTGCCATAGCTAATATATAAAAATAAAAGCCTCCATAAAAAGTGCACTAAATGTCAAAAAAGGTGGGAATTGGTTTTTCTCTACTGAATTGAAAAAAAAAATCACTGAATTGGGCAGAATAACAAAAATGATTTGTACATGTTCTTGTGTTCAATGTCTTTTATAAAAATCTGAAACTCAACTTCTATGTTGCCTGAGACCATTAGAGTATTCACAATACCTTTGCATAAATTGGCAGGGTGATGTTTAAGTTGCAAATGGCTTGATGCACCAATCCTCTTGTGGATTTTGGTTCCTTCATAAATGATAGTCGCCCGCAAGGTTCCTGAGTTGTATCACGTACCTTGAATGAGAAGGGCATATGTGATTCACCTACATTTGACGCCAGATGAGGTTTAAAGTGTGTGGGGGGGGTAATTTCAATCGGGTGACACTTTAAGGAGGGACATAAGAGCCACAGACTTAAAGCTTTTCACTTTTCTACTTTGGCATCATCATTGACAATAACACTTTGAAAATGTCTTTTAGGCATTGTTGCTTTATGATGCATGGTTAAAAAAATGTCCACATATTAAGGTAGGTTACAAGATGGTTTGATATGCACATGATGTGAAATGAAGCAGATCACCATACTAATTGCCTTGCCTCAAATGAAACCTGCCATTTGTTTCAGATCTCCCAGCAAATTTCAAATATAAAATAATCGTAAACTCTAGTTACCTTTCTGAACATTAGGCTTCCAAAACTAATTTACCTTTTTAAAAAACTGTGGTAAAATATACCTGCCATAAACAAAACTGTACATATCTACTATGTTTTTAAGTGCTGTGAAGTGCATTCATGAAGTTGTGCAACCAACACTACTTTCCAGAGCTTTCTTTTCATCCAGACGCTGTTCCCAGTACACATTTACTTCCCATTCCCAGTGCAGGACAACCCCACTCCACGGTGTCTCCATGGATTCCCCTGCTTTGTAAAGGGGACTCACGCAGTATTTTCCTTGTGTTTTACTGACTTAGCATAACATTTTTAAGTTCACTACAACATCAAAGTTTCTTTCAACCATTCACTTTTAACTATGGATTTTATAACAGGAAACATCATTTTAGGTGTATAAATCAGTGGTGGAAGTCCACACACTTAGTTGTATAGCTATCAGCACTACCCAGAGGTGTGCAGAATTACTTCCCAAACTGAAAGTCTCCTCGAATAAAGCAATAATTCATCCCCACTACACCCATTTCTCTAATAGCCACCCTTTTACTTTTTTGTCTTCATGACTTTTACTTCCCTGGGTATTCCTTAGTAAATGAAGCCATTCACTATCAAACTTTCTATTTTGTTTAATTGAAGAAAGTATATCAAATCTATAGCTCTAACTGGAATAATTTCTTATTGGACTATGAGATTCTGGATCTTTTGAGAAGTTATTACAAAAAGTTTTTGGTGACATTCACATACATTTTAAACTCTAAGTATGAATATCTAAAAATAACAGCAATGAAGAAACAGGAGGGCTGGAAGTTTAAATCACTAGTAGAATTATTCCCTACCAATAACTAGTTATGAGGCCCTAAGTTTAATTCATACACACACACACACACACACAGGAGTGGGGAGAGGGAAAAGGAGAGGAGCATATATGTATATGTATATGTATATCTATACATATATATATATATATATATATATATATATAGAGAGAGAGAGAGAGAGAGAGAGAGAGAGAGACTTGTCTTCAAATCTGGGAAACAGTATTTAATCTTTCTACTTAATAACTTGGTCATATTTTCTCCACATTATGGTCTCTCATTAAAATATATGGTTGACTATGGACTTCAAAATTTTAGAAAATGTATTTTTGTAAACATTTGTAAAATATATTTTAAAACTACTGGAAATGTTTGAGAAGCACATATTCTCACTATAAAAGTAACTGAAAACAACCCTTGTACTTGTGTAAGTGTATAACTGATTTTTATTTTTGTATATGCATTACCTTCACAAAGAGAGGAAGTCTGTTTTCTTTGAAGGCAAAAAAACTGAATATATGATGTTGGCCACTCTTGGTTAGTGGTACCAGGTTGCCAAAACAATCCACATAAATAGGTTTTCCTTCTAATACCTAAGATAAGACAGAAAACCAACACAGATTAAGACAGCTACAATCACTTTTACATCCTTTATTCTAACAAATAGTAGGTGTGTTTGGAACCTTCTGTCTTTAGAATATAAAAGGACAATGTTCACACTACTGATTGACATGTCATATACATGGCATGTATATGACATACATACATAGTACCAGCATTCTTTCTTGCTACTTAGAATCTTCAATTGCATGGTAACATTCCATTTTCTCATTTTTATTGTTGTAGCTTGATACCCATAAAGACCAATATATGTCTAATACCTAAATATAAACTTTGAATTGGGTAACTTTGACAACATGATAGGAACACAGGACTTCAGTATCTAAACATCTGAAAAGATTGAAAATTCTTTACAAAAAAGGAAAAAGAATCAAGGTAGACAATTATTTAACTGATTAAACACTTAAAAAGAAGTATTTTAAAAGAAAATCCAGGAAGCTGAAGTCATAGAAACTACTATAGTTACTATAAACTCATAGATACCTATATACTCCAAGTTTATCGATAGCTTATAGATTTTTCTTCAAATAAAATTTACAGAAATCCTTCTACATACAAAGAGACCATCCAATTATGGTCCAAATTGACAGAAAAATCTCTTATTTGGGACCTTGACCTTTAAGTGATAGACACACAGGCTGACCTTTCTTTTGTTAATCAAATCTTCCTGCATCTGTTTTGCAAGTGACCTGATAGTGACAATTCAGCATGCAGCTTGGCTATATTCTTACCTCCACATCCCTGCTCCGGGCCACCTCAGAGAAGTTTTCTTGTTGTTCAAGGGTCTTATCTACTTTATCATCTGTCATACAGAAACACCGCAACCTGGCTTCAATGGGGTCATGTGATTTGGCAAAGACTACAAATTTGGCCATATATGGTACACAAATAATTTCTCTATATACTTGCGATGCAAAGGAAACAGATTCCTGAATCTGCCGACAATCTATCAGCCAGAACCTACAAAAAGAAAGAAAACCAGTTACCTAATGTTTACATTATGCCATTTGAAAAAAAATCAATTCTTTTAATATGACCAATATAGTCATCAAACAATTCTTGAAAAAGAAAGAAGTGAGAGAGATAGAGATGATAAGAAGACCTAGATCAAAGGGAAACAAAGAAGGAAATGGCAAGGAAGTCTAGAGGTATCAAGAAGGACAGATATATCAGAGTTTTAGGACTGACAATGATCAAGAGGGAGTATGCTCAATGTTCAATATAAACTTTGAAGTAAAAGCCATTATGTATCATACTACCATGTATGATGAATAAATCAATAGAATATACCCTCCAAGGCAAAGTAAAACAAAACAAAAAGATTGACTTCAATGTTCTAGTTGTGTTTCTCTTCTTGAAAACTCTTATTTATAACCAGTCTCTTGCCTTACAAATTGATTGCTTTTGGATTCTTTGGTAATAAAAGCTCCGTGTCAGACTATGATAGAGATTTCCTTTATTTTCCTTGATTTCTCTCCTAGTCATTTAATCTTCTTAATCTTTCCACATCATTTCCTCACTGCTTCATCTTCCAAGGGACTCACCAGCCACTGAGACCATAAGAATAACCAGAAATTTGAAGGTTTTTACATTTCCATTAAAGGTTACATGAATGAGAACTAATATGGAATTCAATTACTGTATGTAAAAGAAATAACAGAAGATACCTTCAGCCTCTTAAAGATGTATAATATGCAAATGTGTTAGTATGTATAACACATTGTAACTACTTAGCCACTTAGCAAGCTTCACTGAACTGTGTGTCTTGGTATTCTGTTGAAAAATCAACTCCCCATGTGTTTTGTTGGATAACAGGAAACTTCTCATTCCTTGGTGACTGTAATCATCAAGAGCGGCTGCCAAAGCTAGCATCAGGATCACACAGCCAAAGCATACAGACCCATGCTTTCCAGACACTAATCTGAATGTCAGAGAGGACGTGTTATCATTCATGTCAAACATTGTAAGCCTTATTTCATATTAGACAATAATAACCAAAGTCCCTTGAAAGAATTAAGAAAAAACATCAAACAACACAGAGAAAATAATCATTTTGTGGAGGAACAAAGAAATACAGTAAGTAGGCTTTTCTGTGTTGCACACACATACCTGGCAGACACGTTGGTTGTAAAGGAAACACATTCATTGACGAATGTTAGTGGTGTAGTTCCTGTGATGTCTTCCCACTGTGCAGGCGTGGTTCCACCTGAAATACCATGATTGTGGAAGATAATTGGGCAAAATTCCAGACATTGGCCTTTCAAGAAAGTCATTGTGGTTCTGACTGTTCACCTGTGTGATCCCTTTATGCCACAAAAGGGCACAATGGGAATAACATGGACTGAGATACAGGGTAGTGATAGAGCATTTGCCTGGTGTGTTCAGAGCCCTGTGTTAAACCCTCACTGCCAAAAAGAAAAAGAAAAAGAAAAGAAAAGAAGAAAGAAAGAAAAGCAAAACAACTTTCAGGGCTAAGAATGTGTAGCTCAGGAGTAAAGTGCTTGCCTTTTCTAGCAAATAACATGTCTTAGGTTCAATCACCAGCACCAGAAGGAAAAAAAAAGTAAATTTAATTAAATCAAAATGAAAGAGTAAAAACTGTCAAAACTATGTACCAAAAAGTAACTGCCCCCCAAAAAGCAAACACCACCTTAAGATAGATTAAACTTAAGGGAAGTTATTTGAATATCTGTTTACTAAACGTTCTATACTTGACCTGTTAAAAAGGTGTTGGGGAAGGATCAATGATTTTTCCAGTGCTGGACCATGAATACTACAAGACTGTTTATGGAGAACCAACTGCTCTCTTGGTTGGCTTTGAGTCTAATCCACTGGAGGAAATGCATGCATAGTTCCCTAAACATGGTCACAGAAAAGCCATGAGCCCTAGGGAGAAAACTACTGTTGTTTTTGCTAAATGGTTATTTTGTCAAATGGCCTTCTAAATATTTATGTTTATACCCATAGATGTAAACTTTGGTCAGAGAAGCTCCTTACTGATATTCATAGTGGCTAATTCAGAGATGCATAATTGCTCAAAGTGCTAAGAATAAGGAATCGTGAGTGCTCAATAGTAGGTGGGACATCTGTGTCAGCCAATCCCTTCCTTAAAGCTCAGGGAACATTGTGGAAGAAGAGAAAGAAAGAAAGAAAGAAAGAAAGAAAGAAAGAAAGAAAGAAAGAAAGAAAGAAAGAGAGGAAGGAAGAGAGGAAGGAAGGAAGGAAGGAAGGAAGGAAGGAAGGAAGGAAGGAAGGAAAAAGAAAAAAATAATAGCCAGAAAATGGAAGGAGTGCTGAAATGCTGATTGGACACTGACTGTTGGATGGATCAACTCTCAGAACTGGGTTACCTGTACAGTACACCCCAGGAAAATTCCTGCATAGATAGGAAGAAGCCATCAATGTGCCACCCATACATGAGGAGATATTGGCAGTTGCTGTCTTCTGGGGGAAAGAAAAGCTCACTTTTCTTTGAGGGGTATCACTATTAGATCAGACTGCTCATGTCCATGAGCTGGTGGATGGCCCTAACCATGCACATATGGGCAGCACTAATAACTCAGTGGGTGAAAAAAAATAAAGTTAAACACATTTATCTTTAAAATGACTATGCATTTAAAGTATATAATAGTCTGATATACAAACATTGTTGAGTAACAACTCATTCTTTTCACCTTTTGTTCACCTAGTTAATTAAAAAACACTTCCCCTGAATTAATGCATCTAACCCCATGGCTTTTTGATACAGGGCTTGAACTCAGTCTTCCAAATACTGCTCTATATTCTCAGCTTTCAGGGCTGCTTATAGCAAAAGCAACTTAATTTTTTTTTACTATGATCTAAATATCTTCTAGAATTTTCTCTGCTATAGTCACCTATGACTCACCTGTTATGCTGCATAGTAATCTTAAGGTTGGTGCATCTCCCCCAAAACCATTCAACATGACATCACTTGAAGCTTTGGGGACAGGAATTGTCATGGTAATAGGCTTGTGAAATTTTCTTCTCCTGGGTTCCAAAGTGACTATAGGGCTGAAGGTTGCTTTGTTACCTAGGATCTTCTTCACCAACTCACTGTGCATAGGTTGAGCCTTTCAAGGTAAGAAAGAACATTAAACTATATAATGCCACACTTAATGCCAAATATCATATCTAGACATTTTTTATTTCACAAATGAGTTTAATGGATTTCAGATATGGCAGCTGTCAGTTTAGTACTATTGAAGACTCAAAATTAAAAAAAGAATTTATTACATTGTATTTTTATTTATTTATTGTATGTTAGAGTGTGTGTTGCTGGGGTGCATGCTACAGCATACATGTGCAGGTCAGAAGACAATCTGAGGACGTCATTTGTCCTCTTCCATCAGGTGGGTTTCCAGACTTGAACTCAGGTAGTCAGGCTTAGCAACAAGCCCCTTCACCAGCCCAGTCATCTCACCTGCCCTACCCTCAAAATTCTGTGAATCTTTAGTCTCTTGTGTTAGCCTTTGCTCACTCAGGAAAACTTTATTTAGGTGATATTTCAACTTTCGTTTGAAAACCTAACTGTAACCCTGGTAATAAAATCCCACAGTGTCATCTGCATCCTCCATGGACATACCTGCAGGCCTACACGGATGCGCTTTGTGAGTGCACCCTCTGGAAAGACAGCCTGCACCTGAGACACCACGGTGCTGCTCAGCACTCCTCCCTCTGGGCCAATCAGGTTGCTGTCCTGTTTGATCCGAGACACCACCGCAAAGTACTGTGGGAAGTCACGAGTGATGATACGGCAGATTCGTTTCTTTTCCAGGTCCTCGGGACTGTCCAGCACTGAGACAAGAAATGATCCAGCCTCGTAAAGCTAGTGATTCCTGAGAACATTCTAGCAGACTCATGGGCATGGTTAATAGTAATCAGGGGGGCAGCAAAATTCCCCTTTAGTTAAAGCTAGAACACAAGGTCACCTTGACACCAAATAAATACTGGGATCTTTCATCAGCCGTTAGCAGGTTGCTGGTACACCTCGGGAAAACCTGGCTTTCCAGGGCAGTGGAAAAGAAGTCCACATCTGCATGTCAGGCCAGATGTGCCTGTGAAGTGCTGTGTCTGTGAGGGAAAACCTGTAGTGGAAGTTAACATGTGCTATTCTTGGTTCATGGGCTGTAGAGGAGGCTGCATGGGTACCTCCTTTTCCTTGCCATTTTCCAAGTTAGCTTAAAGACCAGTTATTGTTATCTTAAGAAATCATATGGTCCTTTAGTTCCCAGGGGACCAGTCCAGTAAAAAATTCTGTAGTGAATGGTAAAGGTTTCTGCTTATGTATTCTGTCTTATGACATGGTTTGTGTCTGTAATTGACATCAGTGATGACATCAGGGTTTCAATATTCCTCTCTTGCCAATGACTTGCCAAACACATTACCTAACAGCAGACGGTGGGATCGTGGACTCTACAAGTTGCTCTGGTGTAGATATTTAGAGTAAGTCTCCATATGAACAACTGAATGAACTTAATATTCCTGTCTTTTTAATAATAGAAAGTTTAAAAGTTTTGTGCTGAGTTATTTGTTATGAAATAACATCTCCTCTACTGCTAGTTTTAGATTCAACAAAAGTTTGCTGACTATCCTCATTAAAAGAAAACATTTGATGTTTTAATTTCCTGAATTTAACACAGTTAAAAAACACGGTTAAGAAAACAGATGGATCATGCACTAAAACTTGCTGCAGTCGGAACACAGCAGATAATGTGCAGAAGCAAAACACCTCAAGAGGCACACATGTGCACACAAGTGCTCAGAGAACTAAAGTATCTAAAAGCAATGCATAATTGTCACAGCTCCGCCTGAGATTCCTTTAGACCCCTTAACCGAAGGTACCTTCATCCATGCCATTAAGGATCTCATTCAGTTCGTCTTCAGTGTAGTCACAGAAATGCTCTTTCCAGCTGTCCCCATTTTCACTTCGCAGAACCACCAGCTCCCTCTCCTTTCCTCGAAGGGCAGCAAAGTGAGGAATCTCCACGATCACGGGCCTGACACAGCAATGCAGAACATTCAGTGTAGACAAGACAACTAATCCTGAGACAAGCACCTCAACACTGTCTGTTGCAAAGTGACCTGGAATTCTGCTCATTCTGGGGACAGGGGCGCAGTGGGCCTTCCTCCAGAGCCCAGTGACTAACAGATGGTGACACGGTGGCACTCCACCTCAGGGGCACTGGTCCTCAAGTACATGCTGCTACCTTAAGCCAAATGATATTTCTCTGTGAGTGCATGTGGCATTCTGGAACTTCTCCTTTGATAAATGTAGGTGTAGCACATTTAACCAAAAGAAATGTACATGCATGTCTATGATGTATGCCAATCTCCTAAAACATGTTCTACAGGTACAAAGTGACAACATGAGTTAAGAAAGAAAATGGCTCATACATTGCATAATTCAATGTGTTATAAATGGGATGTCAGAAAGGTAGACTACTTGTGCTAATGAGCCATGCAGTTATGGCTATTGCTCATACTGTCTTCAGTCAAGAAAACAATAGGCATGTGCACACAATGTGGCCCTAATGAGCCACTCGGCTGATAGTCCAGTAGTGTCCAATGCCTATTATGTTCAGGATCCAGAACATGCACTGTCCTATATGGTTTTTAGGTCACATTCATCCTCAACATCGGCAGAGGCTTTCCATTTTTGAGTCCAGGTTGCTTTGATACAGACTCCAAACTCATCATAACCACATCATGACTAGCACAGAGTACAACTAGGCAAATCTCATGCTTGAACGAAAATGAAGGTCACAGCACTTTAAAGGAGAAGATATAAAACGTCACTCAAAAACAAAAGTCACATACCACAAGGGTCAGAAATGGTCCACTAAAGATAGATTATACAGAGTTTAAATCATAGAGAGGGACATGTCATGGGCACAATGACGAAAAGAGAAATCATATCGCAGAAGAAGGAGAAGAATGGGGGCCAGCAGCCATCAATTTGTTTTAAGTCGCTCCTACCCAAGGAATTTGGTTCCAGGAGGCCCCAGCTGAAGGATGCGGCTGACCAAACTTTCTCCCTCATTAAGTGGGGGAGGAGCCGTTGGCAGGTGAAGTTTACTGAGTACATCCAAAGCAGCAGTGAAAGAAAGAACAGAAGTAAGCTTCAGGTACCGTGTCCACAGAACCCCAGCATCACAGGGTGAAGTTTGGTTTCACACTGTGTTTGGTTCTGCCCCCTCCATTGGTCACAGAGAGCAAGGAACCAGGAACTGAGACCTAGAGTGTACAATGGAGGTGCCTCTGTGCCAGGGCAGCACGTGGCTGTCAAGTCTGTTCCTATTTAGGTTCACTGCCGGGGTGCTAACCAAAAAAAAAAAAAAAATGGAGGGAAAAAATTGCTCTTTGGGAAAGACAAAACTGTTGGGAATATAGTAAAAACTCTGGACAGCAGCCAGCCGTTTTCATAGATATTCCTCAACAGATTTGAAGGTTATTAAAAAGCCTACAACTATCTGAGCAGGAGGGAGTTAGGCTCTGAACTGAACATCAAAACATCAAAAGAATCCAACCATAATGGCATTTTCTGATGCAACCCAGAACTTCACAGGCTCTTTCCAAAGCTCATCCTGATAAGATGTGTGAGAGGTAGTTTCTATAACCGGGAACTAGCAACACATCCCTTTTGAATTTGGAGCAACCTGTTAGCAACTTGCTCCAAATTACAGACTTTAGAACACTTTTAGAGTTCTAAAGCAAGAAGTCTTCTCCCCAGTGTGGCATGAACAACAATCAAAAGGAATCCTGGTTAGTAAGGGTTTGTTTGTTTGTTTTAAGAACCAAGACCTAAATACAATTGGTTTGTTTCAAAATGATGTGAAACGTGTTCCCCCTCCTAAGCTTCATCCTTTTTCACCATTCAGTTGCAACTTTGCACCTCTTGAGCTGCCATTTGTTATGACAGTAGCCATACAGACAAACAGAAGAAAGAAATGCTATTTTCTGCCCAAAATGGCCAAAATGAGAAATGGCAGAGGTTAATCTCGGTATTTTCACCTTACACTGTGACTTAAAAGCTGAAGGTAGCAACTTGGATGATATAAAACAACGCAAATCATTTACACTGAATTTCAGATACTCAATGAAAGGCAACGCTGTGGTCCAAAGGAAAGGTGCTACTGGATTCATAACCACACAAGGCATTAAATTTATGTTTCATACAGAACACAGTTTTTCCTTCTCATTTTGCCTTTTATTCTCAGATGAGAAACAGAAATACTTACCAATGCCTAAAAAACATGGTTATACCATTGGGAATCTGGCAGATACTCCCACATCCAAGAAAAAAAACATACTGGCAACCTGCATGTTTAACTCACTGACGCCTTATCATGGGAGTGTGGAAGTAAAGTCAGGCATCAAGGCACTATTTCCAATTTTTAAAAAAGTCACAGGAGCCTAACCTTTTTCAAAATGGCTTGACGTACCTTTGGCGTTCCATCCCATTGATCTTGGGTAGAGGGCACAAGCCCACCGGTGACTAAGTAGGAGGTTTATGGGAAACCCTTACCCAAGGAACTGAGCTCCAGAAGGTCCCACTTCAACCAAGCGGCTGGCCAGGCCTTCTCCTTCCACCATTGGCGGCATTGTAGCTAGTCTGTGGCGTTTCACCAGGCGGCAGGTGACTCGGGTTGGTGCTGTGCATTTCCGAGGTGGGATAATGATCCTGAGTCCATTGTGTCTGCATCCCCGCATGGCACCACCACGGGCATCCACCATGAAACTGACCAGGAAACTGAAAAGTGAAAGAGAAGATTAGGCATGCTTCAAAACAACACAGCAGATAATCACAAACTATGAGGTTAATTTTTTTTCTGGACTGTTTATTTCTCCTCAGAACAATTCTTTTAAATGTAAATGCCTTGTGGAAAAATATTTTTAAAGTTTATATTAATATCTATATTTGTATAACTTATTTTGTTTTAATTTCTGTATAATTTTCATATGCTACTGAAGAATAATTCCAATTTTTGTTCATAACTGGAATGAAATTGCACAGAAGATGGGCAAGCCTTCTGTCTCCTTATATGTCCTATATAAGCCATGTGTTCAAATAATATAAGGCTAGACTACATAGAAAAGACAAAATGGCATATGTTTCAACTTAATTTTCCAAGTTTACATCTGTCTAGCTTGTTTTAATGTAAATCTCATGACTGAAAAACAACCTCAAACACCTTTTCTTATGGTTAAATCTATGCCAATGTGTCCTGTCCACAAATGGTCATTCCCAGAGTGCAGATTTGTCACCGGTCAAAATATGGGAAAACGGTTTGGAATCAAACTGACTTTCTAGCTAAAGTGATGGCTGTACTTTTCACAGGTCTCTGCACTCAGCCATTGTAACTGAAACTGAGGGTGAATGGTAGAAACAAATGGAGTTCCCTCTGCTCTGTTTCTGCGGGGTAAGGCCAGCATAGGAAGCCTGGGCTCATGCTGATAGAGGTACTTTCACAGCATGATTTTCCCCAAATTATAATAAACTGGGGGTGGAAAAGAAATCACAATTTAAATGTGCAATTGCTTCTTAATGTTGCTCATTGGACACGACAAAAAGGATGGTAATCTCAAGTGGCTAAGGCTGTTGAATGTGCCTTCATCCATCATGACGAAAAGAATGGTAATCTCAAGTGTCAGTAGCTATTGAGTGTGCCAAGAGAAAGCATCTGAACTCTGATGTTTCTTTGGGGTGGTCACAAATCCTGGAGCAGTGTAACTAGAATGCTAGTTACTTCATTAGCAATGACACTCACCAAGGTCCCTTGGTCACGCACTTCCTATAGAAGCAAAAGTTAAATAACAACAGTGTAGTTGTCCTGTACATAGACACAAGGACATGTATAAAGAGTATGTAGGTTCTTCCACAATCACTCCAATGTTCTCCCACTTTCAATGCACTTGCAAAGTTTTTACAACAACAAAATGAAAGCAACATATAGGTGTTTCACAGACTGACTGATAGCCACACTAAGCCAGATCAACACACCTAGATATTGCCTCCATGAAAACACTGAAAACATTTGAAAGGTATTCCATCAAAGTAAGTTGTGGGATAGAAACACAATACACTGATGTTATTTTTTAGGCTAGTGAAATATCATAGCATCCTCTTCGCAGCAGAACACAGAATGCATTAGACATGCCATTAAACAGAAAACCTGTTGCTAGTAAGAGAAATGGGTGCGGAGGAGCCCCGAGTACCCTCTGAAGCATATCATGCAGCATGAAACCACAGGAGCCACAGTCCTCCACATGCAGTAGCCAGGCTAGGCCTACCATTCTCCCCTAGCTGAGTTTTCAGGTCAGACAATAGCTGCTAGGTACAAGTAACAGCTCACACTGTGTTAACCACTGATGTTCTGGGTGTTAGCCAAACACAATGAGGAAAGGGCTGTAGCTTTTCACAATCTGTCTTTAATATGAATTCTGAAATGTTTCCTTTCTGACTTTTAAATATACACATCCACTCAAAGGAAGAACTAGAAATCCTTTCAGATGAACAATCTTATTTTCCTTTATTATTCTTATTTGAGTACATTTACGTTGATGTCCATTTAAAAGTAGGAAAATGCTGCTGCTGTTTCAACTAGCAGTGTTTCCAGACTCACTGTGATATTTCCAACTTGTTTATAGTTGAATTTAATACTTCCTTTGGTTTTCCTCCTTCATAACTTTTTGAGATATGATCTCAAGTAGTACAGGCTAGCCTTAAACTTTGTACATTTTTGCAATTAGCTTTGTACTCTAAAGTTTTATGATTATAAATATATCATCATACCTAGGGAATTTTTCAAGTCTCAGGTACTGTGAGCAAAGGAAATAGGTGCTGAAACTAGAAGGAATTATTATTCATGTCTGCTTAATCTTATGAACCCTCATAGTATCTGTGTCTTTTGAAGAAAGTAACAAAGTTTCTGCACTTATGCCCCAAGCCCTAATACTTCCATGGTATTATTCCAATGATGGCCTTTAGACTGCAGGATATTAATTCTCTACCCCAACCAAAAGAAAGCATGTAGGATAGTCTGTGGTCTACCCTCACAGCAGAGAATCAGCTGCTATGTCCCTGACAGATTGTAATTACTTTCCCACTGAAGCCCTCTTTTTGTGTGTTAGCTTCCTCTGATTTCTGCTTCCATGATCCCTTTGTGTGATCTGTTGCCCTACCACAAATGTCAGGAGCTGTGCCAAGACACCACTCTATGCTTTCTTCCTTGCTTGGACCAGCTAACTTCCTTAGTCAATGACATATGATCTGTCATCTCATCGAGATGTCATCTAAAGGCTGTAACAAATAGTGAATGTAGTCTCAGCCCCCTAGTACTCAGTACAGTATGGATGCAGCCCATCAGAGGGAGTCAAAATAATTTTTTAATAAATGAGTGAATCTAAGGATGAAAAGCGGGTTATGACAAGTTACGTGTACCTCTAAGGATCAGCGAGGGCAAGGCATGAGATAAGTGAATTCTTCGATGTCTGGCCAGTTATTACAATCAAGCCTCACTCAAATCGCTATGTTCAGATGTGGCAAAGCAGGAAAATACTATGTCTAATATTAAAGAGTCTGCCCCATACACTTATGCTCAACTAGGACATCCAGTGTACTTTATTTCCCTTGGTAGAAGATTAGTAGAAAATGGAAGAGTGTGAAAATCAAGAGCTTGAATATAACAAAATAATATTTTTAAAAGTGATAACAAGATCATATGAAGAAAGACTAAAGAAGGAGAAATCAAACTAGCAGAATTTAAAGACTGAAGCAGCATCTAGATACATTTCCCAGCAATCATTCCTGTGTCATTAGTGGCTAAGAAAACAGCAAACTAGAAGAATTAAGTGCCTAATATGCATAATTGGAGGGGAAATGACAAACTTCAGGAGATGGTAAATCTCCATATTTTACCAAGTAACTGAAGAAATGGCATAGGCTACATGAAAATTACAAATTCCAGTGGAGATATTTTTCTTAGAAAGTGAGAAGAGAGAGAAAGAGAAAAGGTAAAATAGAAGGATGCCAAGAAAAAGAAAGGGCTGGAAGACAGGAAACAACTGTCAATATTCAGAAGGAACAAAGAGTATTATTGCAAGGTTAGCCTAGCAGTAAAACATTTGAGGCAAATTTGGCTCATAATGTAATTATCAAATGACCAATGAAGACTGAACTTCACTGTGTGCTCCCAGAACCTCTCCTCTATATAGAAAGAGTAGGAGGAACAGTGCCTGAACTTCATATCTAGGAGCAGTACCAATGAAATTTACTTGTAAAACCAGCAAGCTAACCAGTCAATCCTAGTGTTTTCTAGCACAAACCTGTGTAAGCAATTGAAGATTTCCAAAAAAATTGGAAGAATACAAAAAGGTGCCCCCACCTGTTTGGCTGGGGGCATTAGAAGCCAGGCACTGTGCCATGTATAAAGCAACTGCTAACTCTGCAGGAGCCTTTTCATTGTGAGGGCTCTGAGGGTGGGAGAGAGGATGCAGGAAGTGGCTCATGCAAGGCTGCAAGGCATCAGCTAGCCCGCTGGAGTGAGCTGAATGGATGTAACTCTCTCACATCTGAGGGACACTGGAAAGGAGACAATGCCATCCCTGCAAACATTTACAGATGAAGGGAACTGAAGGAAACCGAGGAAGACAGCTATGTGTAAAGGAGATCAGATGCGAACTGAAGCTCTGCTCTGCAGTTTGGAGTGTGACATGGAAGTTTCCCAGTCCCTGGGTGCTGACCCTGTCACCACTGACAGCTAGAGGGAGACATAAGTGATGCGTGGGTAAAAAAATACAGATTCAATAAATGGCTGCTCCCATTATCCTCTTTTTCCTGCCTTGTCTAATGTCATGTTCATTAAAATGTACATCATACATCACCTAAAATGGTGAAAAAGCCTCATTAAGAGCTTTCAGTGTACTCACGTTTGTGCTATGGAGTTTAATATTATCAATAGATTTATGACTACCTTATGAAATTGATTCTTTAGGATGTGAGAACTCTGTCACTACAGCTACCATGTTCTTTCCAAGTCTGTTTTGAATTATTTCTGTAACCACAGTCCAGAATCTTGACAAATTCATTAGCTTTTGTTTTCATATGCATGGATTAAGAGATTTAGGTGAATAAACCCTGAAGTTACTGCCTAATGCTACAAATTTGATGCAGTTAATGGCTAACTAGATCAGACAACCTACCTGAATATTTGATTTTAGATTCTCTGGAGGAATTCCTAATTGGAAAGCATACTGTTACTACTTCAATAAATATAGTTTTCGACCCATGGTTAAATAGATGCTTTCTTGAAAATGTGTAGGCATACTGCATTTGACATTGACTTAAAACTACACAGGGGTGGGGAGATAACCAGGGGACATTGGCTCTGATGCGTCTGACTCTTCAAATGACAGCAGTCATGCAAAGTGGAAACTCTGAAGTTTTCTAAATTGTGAGATACGATGTTTTCACAATTTAAAAAGGAATAAAAGCAAACGCAATTCACTTTTATTAGGCAGAGGACTTTCTGATAAATATGCAATTTGATTAGCTAAACAGGTACATGCTTCAGAGGAGACAGCAGAAAATAAGGACTCTGACTTTTAAAACGACTGTACTGTCCACCCCCAAAGTTACTGATACTGAAAATTTCCATTTAATTCATCTAGAACCATGGGCTGGGAACAGGGAGGAGACTGCAGCATTCGAAGTTAGTCACTGGGTGAAAGACAGGAGAAAAGATTCATCAGGGTGCTTCAGTGATGCCGTGTACACAGCAGAGGCCCTGACTTCCACTCTGACTCTTGGTGCTGTTTGATACCACACCAGGAGCTTCTTTCTCCATCATTTCCCGGTCCTTTCCTAGTTCTCCAAATCCCACAAGCTAAAGTGTGAATTAAAAATGACACTGAAAAGGTTCAAATTTGTTCAAATCACTCAGGAATTATTTACCAATCACTGTGATCATGAATAGAAATACAACATTTAGGGTGTGCCTGAGAAGACATAAAATGATGCTTAGACCCTTATTTTTAGAGAAATAACCCATTTATCATCATGGATGACCAAAGAATAAAAATACTATAATCAGTAGCCCAAAAGAACTTTAAAAATAACTTCATCCAAATAATACAGACTGATTGTTAAATTTAGAATGCAGATAAGTCATTCCATAGCACAATTCCAAAACATCAAAAGGTTGAACTTAAAACAGAGCTAGCAAGGATATGTACTATTAATAAGCCCTTAGCCTTTGGCTGACCTAGAATATTGCAAGATAGAAAGCAAAACAAAAAAGAAAAAGGCCTGAGTGCTACCAAAAATCACAACCTTTAATAAAACTTCAAAATAGCTCTGCCAATTTGAGTAATTGTGGGAACATAAGATTTCAGCTGGTTGTAGCACGTTTCCTCAAAAAAGAAGCTGAAACCAAGACAGGAGTCCATTTTAGTTTTTCTCCAGCTAACCTAGTACCTACTGGTATTAAATAGACCCACTTTCCCTTCATAGGGAAAGTGGGCAATGGTCTTAATTTAGAGAACATAAGCCTCTGCATATGTTTCACTAGACATCATCAACACTAAAGCATCCTGAGGTGGGGCATATGCAGAAGGAGATGGTGAAGGAGAGGAGAACGGGGAACATGGTCAGAGAAGGAATTACGCAGAGGTTCACCTGCTGTTGTCACGATCAAGACATGGAGAGGTGCGGCTGAAACAGAATAGATAATTTAGCACGGAGAAAGAGTGGATAAATGAAATATAAAGAATGAAATCAGATGTGACTTTGATTAAAATACTTAATTCATATACCAACACAGTATTCACTGAAAAAAAAAGATGGAAATACAAGTAAGATATCACTCTATGCAAATACAACTGAAATGTCACTCTGTATGCACTGAGAGAAGAACAAGCTTTGGGGCCTTCATAGCTCCTCCCAATATAGGAACCTGGGGAAGTTACATAATCACTGGGTATGGAAGCAAAGCATTAATTAGCACTGGCTTGTGGGGACACTTAGCAAAGACTAAGCGTCCAAGAAGCTAGGAAACACCAAGTGATACTATAATGACAAATACTGAGTCTTAGATACTGTGGATGTAGTTTTGATTCAACTGCTTGTCTATTTGTAATTCCTTCAATACCTTTTAGATGAGATAATTCCCTGATGGGCTATAGCAAAAGAAACTCAAACTGGAAAGGAACAGCTTAAATGATAGCTTCTGTGACAGAGATAGCATAAAGTCTACAGCAAAGTAGGTAACATTCATCACCTACTAGTGGCTAATAAAGATTAAGCGAACATGATCTTAGTGCTTTTCCCCAAGACACTACTACCTACTTTGAGCATTGTGGTCTTCCTCCCCATCTCTAATGTCTAGTCCCACTTTATAGTCCTACTCTTCACTACTTTTTCCCCATTGGAGTCTGTGCTTCATTAACCCCACGCCCACAGGATTTAATAAAGTTCCAATGTTTGCTGACATGTGGAAGTATATTTTATTCAGAATTTATCAGAAATCAGCTTTCCAGATAAGTTGATTTGCTACTTCATAAAACAATCTTCTTCATCTGAAAGAATTAGTCTTTATGGATTTAAAAGAACTCCCAAGACATTTAAAGAAATATGAACAGCTTAATTAAACACTGGAAGTGCTTCCATGTGTGTTTATGTTATGTTGTCCCATACAAAATACACTTGGCTGTCTTATGCCTCAAATAGTCTGTGATTTGAGCAAAGAGTTTGGAATACATCTCTCGTGACTTGTTTTGAAGTATAATGCAAGGTTCATGACAAAACTGTCTTCAGCATGTTTTAAACAATCACTTTCATAGGGCTTCATTATACTGTGGTATATTCTAACACCTCATGAGTTGGTATTTAATTAATAGCATTTGGCTATCATTTAAACATTACCAAGACTTTCAAAGTGGCAATATATAAAGATGAGTTGCAAAACTATCTATTGGTAGAAACCACCTTCCATCAGCCAATTCATTATGCATGTAGGCAATTATGAAGTATCGTGAAGTTCACATTTTTGTGCAACAGTAAAGTTACACAAACTTTACCATTATGACATTAGATGGGAACCTCCAATAATAACTGCTTCTTGGATTCATGAGGAGTCAGTTAGGCAACTCAAATAATAACAAAGTGTCACGCCACTCATTTGTCCAAATACTGAATGTATCTGTGCAGGAAGCAGAGTATAATCATTGTCCCAGTCCTTCTCAGGCAAGAACATCTCTTAAAAATGAAGTAGAGGGAAAGTAAACAACCAGTACTGATTAGTGGTAGAAGATGCAGCTTGAAGTTAAGATATTACTGAATGTAATGCAGCATTATCCTCGGGTATAGTTAGATATAATCACAAGCTTTCTTCACTATCCCCTTAGCCAAAAGTTACCTTTTCCTTACGTTTTAAGTGGATTAAAACTGTATGAACCTGATATATGATGAGTGGATTCATAAGAAATCAGTGTTATAAAATATGATGAATGCTGCTCATATATATTAATATGAACGTCACTTTCAAACAGCACAGCTCGTGGAATCCTTAACTTTCCAAGGGTAATCTTCCCTCTCCCTAAAGTCCTCTGTAGCCCTATGTTTGCTCAACCACTACAGTAGATAGAACTATAGATGATTCTACCTGATAGAAACAAGGCCATATTGTGATTGTGAACTGAATGTGTTTATACTGTCATTCAGAAGACTTGGGGCACACTCTGTTTAACTGATTGGAGTTTGTGAGAAATGTGAAATGCATCTAGGGAGAATGTAGAAATAGTAAAAGCTATATTCTGTTGAGTGCTTACTGTTTCTAGGTAAAGTCTGGTGATTTTAAAAGCATTTACTTTTAAAAACTCTCCAGCAGAGTAAATTTATAGCACTCATTTTTACAGAGACATAAACAGAAACTTGGAATTTTTCTAAACCATGCCAACTGCCACATAGAGAGAGTCAGCATCAGGGTCTGCATGCACACCAGTCTGATGCCAAAGCACAGTGTTGCCCATCAGGTTCCTCTCAGCCATATGGTCTTTTGACTTCATAGAACACTTCCTAGAAGTGTCCCTGGAAGGGGTTGTGCTAGGTTTTCCTTGTCTACTTTCCTTGACAGCTGACACAGAGTCTAGTGCTTCGTAGAGTCTGGCAAATGTGTGGAGAATGAAGATACAAGTGGAGAGAAGAAATAAGGAACGTTCCAGAGAACCAGGAGTGTGCTAACTACTCTCTCTGATAATAGATGCTTGACTGAGCAAAGTTTTTCCCCTTCTAACAATTTCAAGAAAACCTGGACTCGCAGAAATGCCAATACCAGGAGGCTGAGAACAGAGATTCGGGAGTAGTTGGTCTGGGATGTGGGTTGGATAGTTATGTCTTTGAAGCCACACAGTGATTTCTGTATACAGCCATTGTTGAATAACTTATTTTATCGGTATAATAAACTTTTGAAATGCAGAAAAGTTACTTTGGTGCAGATCAATTCTTATAGATGCATATCTTTTTTTTAAGGTATGTATCTTAACTGATCTATCTTTAGCTGTTGAATGTGGATGCTTTGTAACCAGTAATCAGCCACAATGAAGTAACCATTATCTAGTCATTATAACTTACAGATGTTATATAATGTTAAAATATGGGTGGAAATTTCACTTAAATAAAAAATATGAGGATTTATTTTAAATTATATTATTAGATGATGTTACTAAAACACAAGGGTAAAAACAATTCAGAAAGTATACTTAAAAGTTTTTAAGAAATGTGCACCATGCTTAATTGAATTCTTACTCCCTAAGGAATTCCTAAAACTTTAAGAATGCTGGACTGTGGGTTGGCGAGATGGTACAGAGTTTAAGAGCACTGACTGCTTTTCCAGAGGTCCCAAGTTCAATTCCCAACAACCACATGGTGGCTCACAACCATCCATAATGAGATCTGGTGCCTTCTTCTGGCATGCAGACATACATGGAGGCAGGATGTTGTATTGATAATAAATAAATAAATCTTAGAAAAAAAAGAAAAAAAGAATGCTGGGCTGCGCTGTCTGTCTTAAGTGTGGTTTTAACTTTAAAGGAGTGACAAGCAGGTTGTAGCCACTCTATGAAAGGCATTGAAAGGACAGCTGAGAAAGTGACTATATGGATGTGAACTCTGTTTATTCAAATCCCTACTTGAGTGTATGGATCCACCTACCTCTGTGTGTGTGTGTGTGTGTGTGTGTGTGTGTGTGTGTCCATTATTTTAAATGTGGCCACTTGTGAGGAAAGACACTTATTTCAAAGGCCAGTCATTCAATCTCAGCAGATTGCAACTTTCAAACAAGCAGCTGGCCGAGCCTCTTTTTAAAAGATGGCTCTAAGGACGTCACACGATCAGTGAGGAGGTGATTCTGTTCCAGTTGCTTAGCTAACTGTTGCTGCACACTACTTTAAAAACCCTAGTTTCCTATGCTGAGTTCAACCCCATTTTGTTGTTTCATTGGAGCAGCAGCTGGAACCATGGTGGAAAAGGCAACATTATTCACAAGTTGAAACAAAGGTTGCCTCCTCCGTTAAACCACTGGACAAAGCTGTGACTTTTCTCATCTCTGTTTACCTCTTGATCTGGATACATAATATTGATTCACTCACCCTGAATGAATAGGACTGGAAGAAAGAGCCACGTTGTCTAAGTTCTCAGTGCCCCAGCTCAGACGATAACAATTCCTTTCTGCCTCCTTGGCTAGAGCTGACACCTACACACAAAGAACATCAGATTTAATGGAAACACACAGCTTCAACATTCAACTAAAATACAGTGAATTGGGAAAGAGCACAAAATAAAGGTGCTATGACAGAAAATTTTTGTTTAAAAACATAAGATGAAATCATCTCTTGTAGCGCATTCCCTCCTGAATTATATTATGACAGCAGAGTACTTTGAAGAGAGTCATTGTTCATCTATTTCCCTATATCCAGTCCATCAAGAGCAATAAAATTATAGCTGAAATTAAAATATTCCAAAGTAAACTTAAAGCCTTTTCTCATAGCTACTTTAAATATTGCAACAAAATGTACTTTGCAAGGTACCAGTCACCATGTAAACACACCCTGGGTCATTTTTCTTTCTCATAATGGAGATATTAGCTGCATGACACAAATCTTTATATAAACTCCCCATAGAGGAACTATGGCTTTAGAAAGTAAGGCTAAAGAAAGAAACAGCATATTATTTCAGGGGTGGGGGAGATGCTCAGTGAAAAATCGAGTGAACATTTGTCATAGTGTAGGACACCCTCAAATCTCTTTCCCTAATTTTTTTGTTAAGAATGAATTTAGGTTTCTGTAATTCTCTCTTTCTCTCTCCCTCTGGGCTCCCACCCCCACCCCCACCCGGTTTCCTAGGGATATCTGTGGTATTAGAACATTTGAAAAAGTTATCCAGAAAGCAGACATGAAGGTAGAAAGTCATATACCTGGTGGCCGGGAATCACAACCGTGTCGTCAATCATGGCACTGTCCCTCAGGTACGAAGCATGGCTCAGAGTGTGAGACCTGTCGGAACTGAAGGATCGGAGGCTGGTAGGTTGGCAGGAGGTCATGGCCATAGACCAACAGCGGTGGAGGGTTGGGAAGATGAAATGAGCCGAGCAGGAGAGTGAAAAAAGCGTGCTATTAGCTAACAGTGCAACTTCCAGGGGACACAGGTCTCAGAGTGGCCCTACCTCTCCGCCCAACAGCCAAAAAACGCATCCTCAGACTGGCTTAACAGTGAACGGCAAGGGCACAAGGGACTCCACAAGTTAAATTCGACACTCCTAATCTGATTTGTTGCCTTTCCAGAAATGTTTGAAACCAGCAACTGTCTTTCGTTTGCCAGCAGAAGAAATTTATACAGGGAATAATTCTCAAATCTGTGCTAAATAACCTCCCTGCAGCCGTGGGAAAATATCTGGTGGAAGACAGACAGCGCTCGGAGAGCAAAAGTAAAATGAAAAGGCAGGTTTCAGTTTTTGCCCTTTCTTTTCCATTCTCTTCCCATGCCCCTTCCTCTTCCTTTCCACATGGAGAACGGCTGAATGTCAGTATCCTCCCCTGGAAGGTACAGAGTGAAATGAACTGGAGCCAGATGTGTGTTTCCTGTGGAAGTAGAGTTCCTCTTGTTTATCTCTGGAGAGTCCAGCAATGCTGTTATTTCAGAGGAGGGCAGTGTCCTCTTTGCATGGCCTGTGTGTAGTGCAGGAAGCTCTAAAGAGTATTGGTTGCCATGGGGATGAGAGGCAAGAGCAGAAGGAACTCAGCACCAGCCCAAAACAGATACACACTAACACAAGGACAAATCGCCAACAGACACTTACCAAAAGTGATGTTGGGCTATTCAATGCCTTATATTTTTGATAAATCTGAATTTTGTTATTCCTAATTGCAGACTCAAATGCAATGGGCAAAAATTGCCATTTGCATAATTCCCTCATTCTAGTCAATATATACAATCAAAGGACATTTTATTGGTGTTACCCCCTTTTATTTTCCTGAGACAGGGTCTTTCTATGTCTTCCAGGCTAGTCTGGAACTCACTATGTAGCCCAGACTGTCCTTGGACACTTGATTGGCGTGCCTCAGTCTCCTGAGTGCTGAAATTACAGGACTGAGCTACCATGCTTAGCTTATAGACAGATATTTGAAACAGTGTGTCATATGTAGATTTTTATGCAGAGCCCAGAAATTAACAGTGTGCATTCAAACTGCCAGCCAAAAACCACAAATGGGTAAGGATAAGCAAGCTTTCATAAAATTATAGAAGCAAAGTTTCATTTATTTTCACCTAGTAGACACTGGTCAATGAAGCACTGTAGAATTATGGACTGAATGAAATACTAGCACTAACTTTATTAAATAGAAAATTAGCATGTAGATTAGTAGAAACAGTTTAATCTTGCAAATGCATCAAATGTCATTACCCATGTTCTCTGATAAACATGAGGTGTCAATGATAACAAGCTATTTGAAAACATTATCACAGGGAGGATTCTTCATGGTAACATTTTTCTATGTTTTGTCAGTAGTAGGTTTTCAGAACCTCACATTGAGACAGTAAGTAATACAACAAAAAGAAACTTATTATTGACTGTATGAGCTCTTTACTACATAAATCTATATGTTTATAGTGAAATGAAATCAAAATATAATTTGAGCTCAGCTATCTCCAATTTTACAGGCCTTTGGGGGTAGATTGAGAGTCTTAACACAGGGCACAGGTAGCCTGGATGCTTTAAAATTAATCATTAGAAGTTTGAGCCCTAGCAAGAGACAGCAACTGATATTACAGCTGTGGAGCTGGCTTTTTTTTTTCAGACAGGGTTTCTCTATATTGCTTTTGAGGCTATTCGGGAACTAGCTCTTATAGACCAGGCTGGCCTTGAACTCACAGAGATCCACCTGCCTCTGCCTCCTGAGTGCTGGGATTAAAGGCATGCACCACCAACGCCCGGCTGGAGTTGGCTTTTGATGGGGTTTTCGTGAGATCTTGAATTTAGATTGAGACAGAAATTCAATAATTAGGATAATAACCTTTGAATTTAGCAAAAGAGTACGTCCACTGGTGGAATAAAGCATTGCTCTTCCTTGCTGTAACCCGGAAGACAGGAGAGATACACTTGAGTGTGTTTTGTACCTAGCAGAAGCCCATCAGTAGTAATTAAATTTTCTTCTTTGTTTGGTTTTGACTTTGGCCAAAGGCGGAGCTCTGGTCAACCTCACAAAACAATGGTGTGTGTGAACTCAGTCACTCTCTTCCCATCAAGCACCTTCTACTGGACCCAGCTTTATTAGTTATATAATCTCTAGCCATGGTTTTATATTCTAAATATTTAGGACTATAACTTTGCATAATACAGATGCTAGCTGTATGTGAATTCATACTGCAAAAGATGTGACCCAGGTACGAAGAACACTTAAAGGCCAGCTCATTTACTAGGTAAAATTGACCTTTTAATGCACCCTAAGTAGAGAAGAAACACTGGTTTAAAACGAAAATTTATACTGATGGGAATAAACAGTGGTAACAAAGGCATTCCACTTAAAACCTTGAGACAAAGCTATCAGGATTGTGTTATACCTAAACACTGACAGAAGGCACTGGGTCTCAGTGATCACTGGAGTGACAATAACTAACTGGCAGGTCTGTCTTGAAGAGCATGGTATGAAAGAGCTCATGGGCCCTAAAGTGTCACATCCCATCCCCCAATTAGCACCAGTGATGAAGGTGAGTTTGTGATTGCCATCTTCATGAATCCTGGGTCTGTGTCTCTGTCTCTCAACTGGTTTGATATAGAAGAGGTAGAGAGAGAATGTGGTGGATTTTATTGATTTTCATCTTGCCCAAACAACTAGCAAGGAAAAAAAGACAACTTAGCCACAAAAGGTGTTAACCAAAGAGACAGTGGACAAGACCACTATCTGAGCTTTCATTTCTTTGGGTATCCTCTGGAGTTTTCTCTGCTGCCTGCAGAGAAATGCTAACTGTAGTGAATCAAAATTTATGTTTCCTAACTGTTCTTTGCTCCCCTGATGTTATCACAGAATCTGCTTAAGTGAAATAAATATGGATGGGATATTGTAACAGCAGAGAAATAATTCTCTCTGATAAAATAATTAAAAGAATAAACTTTTGGAATAATTTAAGTCTCTGAATCATGAGATTGTCCACATTTGATGGAAAACATTATGAAAAAGTTCTAATGTTTTACAGCAGAGTTACCATTAAAAAGAAATTACGTTGGAGAGCAGGGACTCCTGTTCACTTAATACACAGAGAAGAATATATCCAGAGAAATGAAATTTTACTTGTTCAGTTGGGAGATCGGCAGCTATTGATACAAGGAAAGACTCAATTCACACTTTCCTCCTTTCACACAACTTATTGATTTGAATAAATATAATAACTACTAGCTTACTAAACTATAAAATTTATTAGACATTCAACTTATAGAGTTTGAAACCCTATTGAACAAGTAAATATACAAAATTTTCAGTGTGCTGAAGAAACCTCTATGATTTTTCTGTTACTTGGGGTTTTATATGTGAATTTGGACAGTATTTTTAACTAGTACTATTACTAATAATAAATGAACTAAATAATAATAATAATAAATGAACTAAAAATAACAAATAATAATAAATGAACCAATAATAATAATAAATGAACTAAAATCCAACTCATTGTAATTTGCCTGTATTTTGTTCAATATGCATCAATTTGTATGTGTTTTGATCCTGTGCTTATTTTAGGCACCAGAATGTTTTCTCTAGCTTCTCCAAGTGTAATATGTAGGTTGTTTAGTTTGTTTGGTAGAAACCATGCCTCTGTGTTGTCAGCCACAAGGTGGCACTGTAAGAATTAGAGTTAAGCCTGATTCTCCTGGCTCTGTAGTTCCAGTAACAGACCATCTCTTCTAAATGCAGCGGTTACTGAATTTAGCACAAAGGGGGGGAAATCCATAATTCTAGGATGTAAGCAGCTCTTGCCAACACACACACGCACACGCACACGCACACACGCACACACACGCATGCACGTGTGCTTGCTCATATAGACACAGAGAGCGGTGAAGCAGGGAAATGCGTATGTGTACAGGAAGGCCATCGTTTCATGCCATGTAATACCTACCTGGGGATGGTACTATTGAGAGCATACCAAATAAAGAAATAATGAAAAAGGAGAATGGTTACCAAAAAAAGTGGTGTGACGAATTGCTCAAGCAAAAATGAAATAGTAATTAATAAAACATGAAAATGAGATGCTGCCCATACTCTGCTTGGGGCTAGTGTGTACATGTGGTCACCAAGAGATGCAGGTGGGACCCTTAAGACAGGGCATGTAATGTTTGCTTCTAGCCTCCATCTCTATGTGCTGCTAAGTTTCAAACCATCCACCCCCTTATTCTATACAAAATACACTATCATTCTCCGATCTTAGTTTGAAAAAAAAGGAAATGTGACTGAATCACGTATTTTTTTAATAATTAGAAACTGATGAAAAAGGAATTGTTTTTTGCTTGAACATAAGCAAGTGTGGAATATCGTGAATTCACACAAGGCTATAGAGAAATTTCTTTAATGTTAAAACATAGTCTTTTAAGAACCTCGGATTATAAATCGAAATCTGTCAGTGGACGAGAATGTGATGTATGTAACCCAGGTTCAGTCACCTTTCCTCTCCCCTACAGGCTCCTTCTTCCTTACCCTGACCCTACGGGTCACCCTCCATCTAGGCCACCAATACCAGGGACTCACCCTTCTTCTTTTTCAATTGCTCCATAAAACTCACTGCCCATGCTTCAAAATTGTCGCTGCTGGATTCTTTCCACAACTAGCCCAGGGTTAGAGTTTCACAGTGTCATAACCATTGAGCAAATAGCACACAGCAGCTGGGTGGTCTAGCCCAGTGGTCACTAGAATGATCTTCTGTGTCCCAGAAGAGGGATTCTTATAAAATACAGGTGTGGCTCCTTCCCTCCACACTCCCACTCCAGCCCACTGTATAGTGTGCCACTGCTAATAAAAGCTGCCCCCACAGTCAAGTATCCCTGCCTCCTCCAGAATCACTGCTCCACATTCTACCTGTGTTTGAGCTTCTGTCTATGGGGAAGTTTGAGCCTCGGTCCTGCAGAGACACTCTGTGCTCTTCTATCCTGACCCTTCAGAGTCCCTCTTAGGCTATGAATCCAGTGAACATAGTTTAGTCAGGTTTGTACCTCCAGGACTTACCAGAATGCCCAGCTCAAGAATTAACTTATCACAGTAAAAAAGAAAGAAAAAAATGAGGAAAAGGGCAAGAGGGGGAAAATGAGGGAGGGGATTCTGGTGCTCAAGGGAAAAGCCTCCAAGTAGGTTGCTTTTGTCAATTATCAATGTAGAATTGATAATTCCTTAAGTTGTAAATATGTGGGAAATTCATAACATAGTCAACAAAAGAGTGAGCTTTGTACCATGAGCATGTGACTCTTGATGAGAAAGACATTACAGTAACATGGACAGGCATACATGTGACCCAGGCTAGCAGTCATACTTCTGAAGAAATACCCAGAATATTCTTATTCATCTTGCTGTTGAGAGTACAAAGCAAGATCACCTTGAATCTCACAGAGCAGAACATTAGAAAGGCCCTTCAGATTTGCCTATAAAGTCAGGTCCTTATGGGCTCAGATCACCTCATAAGAACCTGTCTTGTTCTTCTTCTTCTTTTTTAAAATGGAAAATTAACTCCAGAGCAGTTTCCTTCTACAATTGTTTTCTATTATTCTTCATAATTTTGTTCACACAGAAATTACAGCACCAATAGTTAAGTTAGATTTAGGGGAGTCTGGAGATGTTCAACATATCTGCCAGGCAAAACTGTGCATAGAATTTTCCTAAAGAACAAAGTGGCAGCTGATAAATACATCACTTGGAAAGGCAGGGACTCCTGTTTGTCTTTGTCCTGCTTCGTAACAGTTGAATGACTGTACTATATTATTTGGTGTCTCTGAACTAGTGTCCAGTCCTTCAAAACCGGCACTACTTACAGTATCAAAGAAATGAAGGAGATAGCATGTTATCTGGCAAATGTAGTAAACTACCCATAAGTGTTCTATGACCATGTCTACATTTTTATCACCATAAAAAAGGAAGTGGTCAGTCAGGCATAGTGGTACCTGCCTATAATGCATGCCCAGCACTCAGGAAGCTAGGATAGGAGGGCCAGGACTTTGAGGCTCATCTGAGAAAGCCATTCTGGGCTACACAGTGAGACCTTATCTCTAAAAACCAAAAGAGAAGGAGAAAAGGGGGGAAACATTTTTTAAATGTGTTGTTCACACTTCTGTCTGACATTCAATGGAAGGTTGGTGAATACCTGTCGGATCTCCCTCCCTCCAGGCTGTACCGAAGGTAGTTCATGCCATCCAGGAACTGGCTGCTGGGTAACGAGTCATCACCAAGTTCTTTGAGATCTTCAGGCCTAAGGTATTCTCCCCCATCGCCTGTCATTGTGTCATCACCTTAAGGTAATCAGAGGACAGAGAAGGAAGTTACTTGTTGAATTTGGCACCAGCAACAAAATATGCTCATAATTAAGAAGGGCATTCACACAGCAGCTTGGATAACAGCAAAACAGTGCACAGCAGGAAGACACAGGGCCCATGCATATGTCTACAAAGGGCTAAAGCTAATAGAGATAGTATTTGATCCATTTCCCTAAAATTCACCAAGAAAAAAATGATTCTCTGAATTGTAATTGTTTGAATATCTTTCAATGGGTCTTCTTCATTATGTCTATCATCATGATGACTAGTTCGGCTTAAAGATTACCCCAATGTGTAGACTACTAGAATTCTCTCAGTACTTTCAATAATTCTGTGCATAATCCAGTATTAATAGTCTCTTCGTACCATTGACAGTATGCTAAGAAATGTCTATTTTCTATAATAAATGAGAGACTTTAATTTTATTTATTTATTGTATATGTGTGTTAGTGTATGTTCGTTGGTTTGTGTGTGTGTGTGTGTGTTTGTGTGCCTCTGTTTTGTGCGTATGTACACATGTAAAGGAGGTCAGAGGAACATGGTCTCCCCTTCCATTGTGTGAGACCTGGGATTTAGTTCAGTTTGTCAGGCTTAGCAGAAAGCAATTTGCCTGCTAAACCATGTTGCTGGTCACACATATGATAACAATATTTTATAAGATTAAATATATACAATAGCAACAGAACGAAATTAAAAATAAATTCTAATCTGTTTTAGAGAGTTTTATTAACATCTGGGAAGACAGTCTGTGACCCATTTTCATGTGTGGAAAACGTGATGGCATATTAAATGCAAGATCTATTACGTAACAAAAGCTATACCTTAAGTATCCCTGGAGCAAGAAGCCACACATCACATAAAACTCAAAAGTTGGCTTGCATGCTTCCTCTTCCCCCTCTTTCCTTACCCCACTCAGAGATTCCAATACAACTGAACTTGGCTTAAGTCCCTACTACTTCTCAAATTGGGGGTACCCTGCACCCGCTGGGTCAGTTAGTTTTCAGATGCTAACCTGTTCCTCCTGTATCCAGTTCTGATCCCAATCACCCAGCAGCCAAGGTGGTATCAGGGAACAAAGCTAAACTCTTAAAATAAGTATTATTACTTGTGTCTTCAAATTTCTCAATGCTTCATAATAAAACAGGGCCCACATTTTTTATTTTCTTACTCAACCTCTTTCTTATTATGTCTTGGGGGGGAGAAGAAGGTTCATAAAAGTGGAAGGAAAAGATAGAGGAGGGAAGGTGAGTCTAGCTGGAGAATTCTACTCTGACAGATCAAGGCGCTAAGTTACAGGTGATCTGGCAGAACCAGGGAATGAACACATTCCTAACCTTCCTCTCTTATGATTATGGACTTGTGTTACAAATAGAGAGCAAGTTGTCTGAACAGTATATTTAAAATAAAATATATCCTTTAAAAAACTCTTGTGACAAGCCAAGGTACTATTTAAAACTCTCTGATCACATTGAGTTCATCAGACAGTGGCTATCCTTAATATTCTCCCCAATTCTCTGCCTTCCAGTGTTTTTTGTGAGGATGCTGTATGCCTCCAGCAGTTGCTATGCTCAGTTAATTAAAAGTGAGGCTTCCGAGTTTTGGTTACACCTGTAGTGAGCTTAGGAATAGATCATTAGGTCATGCTTGTGACCCAAAGATTTCAAGTTCCTAGTGCTAGTCACACTGTCTAGAATCTCATCTCATGCTATTAATAGGAGGGGTACTCATCTCTGGCCAAATCTTTATATTGTATGCAATTTCTCTCCAAGTTATTTGCACAAAAAATACAATTGTTCAGTATTACCTATCAACATTGAGTGGTGGAAATCATGTACCAGGAGAAGTAGGGGTGTTAATGCTTATCTATCTCCATTTCTAGAGCCTTATACTCCCCATCTGATTGACAACCTGGTCTAGACTCTCATCTATAATCTCCTTCCTCTGCCACCAAACCCATGAAGGACTCCCCCTCCCTGTAGTAAAGCACTAAGCTTTCTTTAGCCAGTGTGGGTCTATTCTACACCATACTCGGTCTCCTCTTTCTTTTGGAATCAAACTAATTAAACAGATTGTTGCCAATGCTAATTGATTTTAGCAATTAAACAGGGACCAAGAGGTTATTTCCTTGAAAAAAGATGTTCCATGATATCTCTGACAGAAATCTCTTCAGGCCTTTTTCCTATTGCTTTGAGTCTTTCTTCTCAGGCTCACTTGTCTGAATGCCATTCCTACATGAGCCCTGTTATGTTCCATTTACCACATATTATTAAAAATTCAAGGACCTCATATACTATATATAAGGTGTTCACAGCTGTGTCCAACTGCACATCCACATTTCAATATCCTCTAAGAATTCTGCACTTGAGTTCCATAAGCATCTCGCATTTAGCATGTGAGAAAACAGAATGCATCATCTTTGTCTGCTTCGCCCTCTATCAACACGCTTCTCCACAAACTCTCTCTATGGCCAGGAGTGCAGCTGTCTCCATGCTTTTAGTCAGGGAGACGGGAGAAATGGGGGTCTTTTTTATACTTGCTTATTTATTTATTATATGGGTATGAATACTTTGCCTGTATCCATGTGTGTGTAAATATGTGCCTGCCGGATCCAGCCAAACCAGGTTTAAGGATGTTGGTGAATTACTGTGTGCGTACTGGGAACCAAACCCAGGTCTTCTGTAAGTGGTTAAGTGCTGTTAATTGCTGAGCCATCGCTCGAGCCCCAGAAGGTCTATTTTGCATAACTTAGCTATTACAGAATAATTGTACAGTGACAGACTTTCTATTATTAGCATATTTGGTAGAGAAGGGTCAAACACAACTAGTTTCCTGCATCACATAACAAACTTAATGTGAGTTTCCTGTACTTGGAACAATGTCTTTCTAAATTACAGATGTATTCATTTAATAAAATGATGGTGCTCAGATTAATGAGGTCACTTTTGTTTGTTGTACTGTACAGTTTTTCCAGACACATTTTGGGCAGCTCCTTCCCACTAATTGTACAGCATCAGAATACTGTAGTTTTGTTTTTCATTGTTGGGTTTTTGCTTTTTTTTTTTTTGAGACAGGATTTCTCTGTGTAACAACCCTGTCCTGGAACTCACTTTATAGACCAGGCTGGTTTCAAACTCATAGAGATTCACCTGCTTCTACTTCCCAAGTGCTGGGATTAAAGGCATGTGCTATCACCACCATCCTGATACTTCAGGTTTTTATAGTAAGATTGATTTTGGTTACCTGGAAGCTATAAGGTTCCACATGAGGATGACTGGTACTTTAGCCATACCAGGACTCTGTGCAGAACACCGACATTAAAATCATAGGGATAAATTAAGGTTAAATGGTGTGGTAACTATCATAATAACCTTTGTGGTGCTCAGAAATATGCTACTGAAATATGGGGAGATCTGCAATGAGGAGGAATCTGAGTGCTCACCAAAGTGAGCATGTAAGAGATGAAACTGGTTTTCCCATTTTTCATTACAACCGTCTGCCGTTCTGAAGTTCTCATGTTCACTAGGTCATGTTGATCCCGGGCACTTGTGGAGATGTGTACATGAGCTGCTCACTAACTGATGAATGAATCTCAAAGACAAGTTATTTGCACTTGCCATCATATGCCGTGAGTGCTTTCTCTACCCTCAGGCACTCGATTTCTTCCAGTTCCCAATACAACGTCCTCTTTCTGTGGACCACACTGGATTACTATTTATAAAAGCAGATTTCTTAATCAGTAGCTGAAATCTTTATGATTCTCTAATTTCTCTAGACTCAGCTAAAAATTCAGACCCTTTGCAACTAACCCCATAGTTGTTATGCCAGAGTAACTGAATCACTCTATCACTCTGCTGCACTTTCCTACATTGAGACTCCTATATTGATCTTTCTCTACTCCTTAAAACCTGGTACAGCCTCTGATCAATCTCTTACTTTTTGAAACATACATAAGATTGTGTGGGTGGCCCGACTCTAGATGTTACCAGGCAGATATGAAACCTGATGCTATTGTACCTTCACTTATCGCTCTTAGTGCATTACTCTGCATGTCTGAAGGCAGATCCTGTGTTTGCCTTTGATTCCCCCATGATGTGAATTAAAGAACTCTTCTTATCATAATATCACATTCAACAGCTGTGCTTTGGATTCATGGGAGGATAACGACAACTGCTTTAGCACATATCAAGTTTGTTGCAGCAGGCATCTAAACTCGTCTTATGAATACCCTTAGGCATTAGTAAATTGCTACCGTCAGAAGATGCTGTAGAGAATGGGGATTGGCTAACACAATAAAAACAGGTGGCTGCACTATGTCCATGTGGATGATAGCAGGTTCCAAGAGAACATTTAATTGCACAAAATATTAAAGAGTTGGCTGGGTAGGTCAACTAATGCTGTATTGACCCTCTGCATAAAAAGCGTTTTTCACAATTCAAATATATCATTTATATTAAAATTACTATACTTGAATTCTCTGCTGGCAATAAAATGCTGTTACATGTTTAGCTATTAGTAAAGATAATACATTATTCTTATCACAAGATGCTCTCATTCAAATCAATATTCCTATCAAACCAAGTCTTTTATCACTGACATATGTCACTGTTTAACAATTTTTATTTTAAAAGTTATATATCTACATCTCATTTTATATATTGGGCAGACGTGAGAGTCTTACCAATAAAGTTTCTAGAAATTCTACAGTAAACACTTTAATTGCATTAGGTGATAAGTCCTTTGCCAATTATTTTAAAAAATAGTGATCTTTTTTGAAATCAAATGCTTCTAATTTATATACTGGATTTTCATGTAATAAGCTTCCTATGAAGAGGTACCACATCATCTCTGGAAACTATATCACATAGATGTTTTATGACATTCATTTTTCCCCCTAAATGTCAAATTCACACTGCATGACTTTTAAAAATATTTATTTTGTTTTTATTTGTGTTTGTGTGTGGGAATAAGTGTATATAGTTGCCCACAGAGATCAGAAGATAACATAGGATCCACTGGAGCTGGAGTTATAAGTATTTGTGAGCTGCCTGACATGAGTGCTGGGAACAATTAGGTCCTTTGTAAAAAGAGCAAGTGCACTTAGACACTGTACAATATTCTCCCCTCAGTTCTCCCCCTCGCTAAATGGTATTTAAAGATAATTCTTAATCATAATAACTTACCTCTACTCTTGACTATCTTTTTAAAAACAATTATATCGCCAGGCATTGGTGGCACATGCCTTTAATCCCAGCACTCAGGAGGCAGAGGCAGGCAGATCTTTGTGAGTTTGAGACCAGCCTGGTCTACAAGAGCTAGTTCCAGGACAGCCTCCAAAGCCACAGAGAAACCCTGTCTTGAAAAACCAACCAACCAACCAAACAAACAAAAACAAAAAAACAAAAAACAAAAAAAAACCACCAATCATATTATGATTCCTAATTATAGATTTGTTTTTATAAGAGGGTTCCAATGCATTGCTAAGGCTGACTTATTTTTAAAGACAGATTCTCTCCACATAGCATAGCCCTAGCTGTTATAGAACTCACTATGCAGATCAGGTTGGCCTTGAACTCACAAAGAGCTACCTGCCTCTGCCACCTGTGTATTGGGACTAAAGGTATGTGCCAGAATACCTAACCCAGGCTGACTTTAATGTTTGCTCTCAAGTTACCATCCTGCTTCTGCCTCCTAAGTAGTCATAACTACAGGCACATGCTACCAAAGCTGGCTTCTAATTAAAAATATTTTGCTTCATCTTAGCAGGGTAATGTGTGCATTCACCTCAAGCAGTCTTAGCTGAAGGTATAGAGAGGAACTAATAGATTAGTTACCTATATGTCATGCTTATTTTAATATTAATATCAAAAAATTACTTTTCCTCAAAATCTCTATCCTGAAAAACAAAGATATTCATCTGGGGAAATATCCATATGGGTTCTTCAAATAAGGTAATTTTGTTTAGTTGGACTCCATAATTGTTGCTAAATTATTATCAGAATAAGAAAATTGTGGATTTTAAACTTACAAGTTAATAAAATACACACATCAAATGCACACATGCATAATTCTACACATATTACACAAGCTGTTTCAAAAGAAACATTAGTATCAAGCACAGAGATGTAAGGATTAACATGTTGCTTCTGCGTAGTTGAGAAAAATTAAAAGCAAAGAAAAGCAATCACTCTGAGTCCCTTAAATGGTACCTGAATCACTAAGCGTTTCCCCATCAATAAAGTGGTCACCAAACTGCTTAAGAGCTGCACAACATATGAATAAAATTGAAAAATAAAATCCCACAGAAATATGGTGTGCATATACAGATGCTCAAACTCAGCTGGCAGATACTAGAACACAGCTCAGAGCTATAATAAATATTCAGAATTACAGCATTTGGCAGTGCTTTTAAAATAACTCATCATCATACATTGATCCAACATTTGTGCATTCTTGTCATAATTCTTATGCAGACTGACAGAGCTCAGTGCCTATTGCCAATAACAAAACAAACTAGTTCCAAATAAGACTTAAGAATGTAAAGCTTTGTCTTGAGATTGCATGTCAAAGGACATAAAAACATGTTTAATCTTTTCTATAGAGTCTATTAATATCAGATCCAGCATAACCTTTGTGGCAATGATTTTGCAAAGATATGCATGAATTTTTCATGTACATACACATGGCAATATATTTTTAAATCTCACACACTGATCTTGTTATTGAAGCTCGTTACTCTGTTTAAATGAGCAGTTCTCAACCTGTGGGTTGCAACTCCTTTGTCAATTACATATCAGACATTCTGCCTATCACATATTTACACTACAATTTATACCAGTAGCAAAATTACTGTTATGGAATAGAATGAAGTGATTTTAGGGTTGAGGGTCGCCACAGCATGAGCAACTGAAATAATGGGTCATAGCATTAGGAGGATTGAGGACCACCAGACTAGATAATTTTAGTCAACTCTAAAACTGTCATGAAAGTACAGATATTTCTTGACATTAAGAATGACTTACTTGTGTTGGGGATGTACTATTTTGTGATGGGGTCCTTTTATGCCTTTTCAAAGATTCTTTTCTTCTGAGTTTGATATATATTGTATACACTTGAATAATCAGATAGCAGAGATTTCTTAATATACCACTAATGAATGTTTTAAAATCTCTAAAGGCATTTGAATATGAAATATGTTGGCATAATTAATATGTATATTAATAATGACTATTATATCAGACAGCTCTTTTAGTACATGGATAATCTGAAGTTTCTTTCTCATTTCCTAGTCTTACTAGTTATCAGCGATTAAAGATAACAATGCAAAAAAGTTGGTAGACCTGACCTGCCTACTTCTTCAATGGCAGGAGTAAATATAGTACACTACAGTTGGTGACTGGGTTTTAAATATTAGGATACTGCCATCTATACTACTACCTTTATCTCTAAGAAAACTTTGGTTTCTTTGTGTAGGAAATTGACAGCTGTCACAAAGAGCACAGAAACATGGACTCACCCTCTTCATCAGAAACATCAAGCACCTCTGTCATAGTTTCAGGAACATTTAACTTGTGTTTTTCCGTGATAGTCTGCAAAGACAAAAAGCATTCATTGCAAAGCTAAAAATCAAATCAAACAAAACATGAATGAAGTTCCAGAGGTGCCAATCTACAGCAACAGCAAGTCTTCAGACCCCAACCATCCTATCTTATCCACGCGGAAGTTTTGGAAAGTTACTTTCTTTCATGAAAACGCCTTTGTTCTTTCTGAAGATAAATGACCAAATGACTCTGGGAACATTGTTCAAGAGAAAATTCATTATAGTTAGTTCCCATTTGAAAAATGAAGTCTCTGGTAATGGCGTAAGTAATTAGTCATATTGAAAAAGCAAACTAATGTCTTCAAGACGTCTTTAACATGAACTAAGTGATGTTTCCAGAAAACAAAACTTTACAATGAAGTAATAACTTTGCAATGTATTAAAAACAAAGCCATCAAAAAGATGCTGTAAATAATATAGGTCATATAAATTATACATGATATGTGTGGCCAGGGGTTAGAGGACCAGCAGTAGAGAATTAGTCATCTTTGTAGTATTCACAGTCTACAGCTTTGGTTTATTACTTATTGGCCTTCTCCGGTGCTCCCGAGTGGCCACATCCAATGATTTCATTCCTGATAGAATATAAAAAGTTGAGAGACCAGGCTCATCCGGCTGCATAGCTTGCAGTTCTAGATTCAGCTGCAAGGCCTCCGCAAATCCTTGAACCTAGCTATGCCTCAGTTTCCTTGTTGAAACACCACAAACAAATGTCTCATAAAATGGTTATGGATGTAAATATGAGAGCTCTGAGAAAAGTCCTTGGAGTAGGATAGGACTCAGTAAACATCGGCTGGAATGGTTGTAGTTGAAAATTATATTCATCTTGGGAATGAAGCTCCTCAACTTTTTGAGTCACTTGTGCAGCATGGAATGGCATGAAAATTATAACCCAAACACACCATGGTGATTTTCAAAATGCGAAAAAGACAGACACAAATGTCACATGACTTCACTAATCTGTGAAACTGTTTAAAAGTCCAAATCACATAAACAAACCATAGAAGCGCAGTTACTAGGGGCTGAGCCAGGCAAGGGGGGTATGGGCTGGTTCTCAATGGTTACACAATGTCAGTCAAAGGGGAATGAAGTGCAATAAATATGTGTCATCACGATGACCATACAATATCACAGTGGACTGTACACTTGACATTTTCTTTTCTCTGTTATTTTTGAGACAGTGTCATGTGCCCCAGGCTGGCCTCAAACTCAAACTCACAAACTTGCTATGTGCAAGGATAACCCTGTACTTCAGCCTACTGTCTTCACCTCCCAAGTGCCTGGATTCCAGGTGTGCACCACCATAGATTGTTTAAGAGGTACTGGGGGTTGAGCCCAGGGTCCTGTGCATGCTAAGGAAGCTCTGTATTAACTGAGCTACATCCCTAGTCCCCGCATATGTGAAATTTTCTAGGAGAAGCTAGGTACACTCATCAGATCCACCCACAAACAAAAAAAATGCATGAAGTAGCGGTGACCTAATTAGTTCATTTAGTTATTTTCACAATGTATATGCATCTCAAATCATCACACTGCCCACCATAAATATGTACCATTGTATCAGTCTAAAAACTGAAACACATGTACAAAGAAGCCTCACAGCTTTAAATATTACCTAAAGCTGATTGAGTCTCAAATATACAGCTCTAGTTTCTACATTTAAAGTGTATTTAGTGTACCAGTTGGCAGTTGTGGGAACATTAAAAGACTGAACTTTTGACATAAGAGGTAAATCTTCAACCAAAATCCCAAAACACCATGAGTACATTGTCTAGACTTCTGCACTTTGCTTTACAGATAATAAAGTGATGCAGATCTGGAACCAGGCGGGCGGGCAGGCTCCTCTCAAGGAAAAAGCTTCTTTAACAAAATGGTGTCAGGAGTGGGATGATGAATTTCCACGCAGAATGACAAAAGCTTTAAAGGAATTTTAGAAACAGAAGAACAGAGAGAAGCACAGACTTTGGTAGCAGCATTTTTCTCAGGTGTGCTCTGTTTTGCTATCGACAAGCCGAGATTCACACGGCTCGCTTACCGGAGTCTTCCTGACTCGGCTTGAAACTACATCACTCTACACAACTCCGGACCAAGAAACTGAAACAGCACATCTTCTACAATCTGGCCAGAGCTTCAAGATAAGAGCTTCAATCAACACTAGAACCCCAGTCAGGAACTTCAATCAAGCATCTCCTGCCATACTGAGACTGTCTGATCTACTGAGATTTTGTTATACTAACATTTTCTTTTCACAGGTCCCCATGAGATTATCATCGTCCCATCTCAGCAGGAAGTAGTTTTGAGAATTCCACGCCCCCTTTCCCTACTATTGATATTATAAGATAGTTTACACCTGTTAGTGTTAGTTTTCAATTATTTTTAGAGATGGGATTGGAAGGAGGTGTTCATATTTGGGTGTTTCTTTCAGATAAGTTTAGGTAGATAGAATAGATGTTTGATACATTTTGTTCATGGACACAAGTTGTCCTTTTTAGACTAAAAGGGGAATTGTAGGAGGAAGTCTGATGCCGCAATTAAACATGTGACTTACTATAGGCGCATACAGATGAGGTAATAAAAGGGCGGTTTACCACACCGCTAACCACACCCACTTTAGGCAGGACTAAAGACGTATACGGCTGGACATAAAGACGTATAAGTACGTAGGCGGAACTACGTCACTAGCCATGCCCACTTTTGGGCATAGCTAGGGGGCGTTACGAGGGAAGGCTCCTCTCAAGGAAAAAGCTTCTTTAACAAAATGGTGTCAGGAGTGGGATGATGAATTTCCACGCAGAATGACAAAAGCTTTAAAGGAATTTTAGAAACAGAAGAACAGAGAGAAGCACAGACTTTGGTAGCAGCATTTTTCTCAGGTGTGCTCTGTTTTGCTATCGACAAGACGAGATTCACGCGGCTCGCTTACTGGAGTCTTCCTGACTCGGCATAAAAAGAAAAAAAAAAAGCAAGGTTGTTTTAAGAGACTCTGCTAACGATTGAAAGGTGTGTACGTACAGCTGGAAGTGACAGCTTTTGCTGGAGGTCAGCATGGACTGAGGCGGTAAGCTGGAATCATGCTTACGCCCGCCATCTTGACGGAAAAACCGGCAGTTTAAAACAGCCGCGGTTTTACAGATAAGACACGTGGCCAGAAAAACATATTTACAGTAAAGTCAGACTTGGATGAACAAAACCTCTAAAGGTTTACAGTGTGTTTAAAAATATATGTGAGATTGAGAGAGAAAATGAAATGACAAAGTGGTATATAAATACAAAAGCCGGCGTTGTGGTGGCGCACGCCGGTAAGATTTACTCCAGAGGCAGAGGCAGGCGGATTTCCAAAGAGAAATCCTGTCTCAAAGAAAAATAAATAAAAGTAAAATAAATAAAGTAATAATAGATAAATAAATAAGCCATGTAAAGATGGAAAATACACAGAGAGTCTGGATACTGTACGCAATTGTGTTTTTCAGTTTTTTGCTTGCTCAGGAAGGAACTGCTACTAAAGTACACTTGATTATAAATGCTGCTAAATTAATCCAACTTCTATCTTTTAAAAATGCCTTGACTTCAAAATTTAAGTATAAGGATATGTTACTTGGGAAAGGAGATTTTGCTTATGTTTCCACAGAAAATGAAAAGCTGAGGATTCCTTCCAGACTTCTGTGGTTTGACGAACCAAGACCCCCAGAAGCAGTGGACCAGGTGTTCCAACAATTGAAACAGCTAAGATGATGCAGTTTTACAGACCCTGAAAATACGGACTTACACAGGTTTCTGAGTTTTGTCATGATCCCCATGGTATGAACAGCGCCCCCTTCCAGCAGCAAGCAGTTTGGAATGAGCGACGTCCTAATTCCCATCTTGTTTATAAATCTTTGTTTTCATTTAAATGGGGTTGTTTATAATTGGTTAATGATCACAGCCAATCTCCTTTTAATGGTAAAAAGGGGAATTATGGTATGGGTATTGTTTTTCATTTATTGATACAAATTCAAGGTCAATTTTGTGATGCTTATATATCTCCTCTTGATTAAGTATTGTGCTTATACTGATCTTTTAAAACATAATGCATAATTGAATACAGACTATAGATAGTTACTTATAATAGAACATATAGTTAGGTAAGTTAGGTTTTCTAGATATACAGAAATACATTTGAGATAGATAAGCAGTCTTCAAACCTTTCAAAGACCTTCAGAAAATGGCATTTAAAATGGTTTAGGGTTTTTCTTGACAATGAGAAATGTCTGCTCCTGGCAGCACCAATTACGTCTGAGAGGAAGATGGGCATCGAAGAAACTTGGTATGGAGTTTGCTTTCAACATGGCAAGATTAGCCATTTGGGCAAGAAACTGCTCTTGCCTGTACTGCTTGACTGTTGTTGTATAATCTGGACATGCAGGGCTCACAGGAAAGTGACTGCTGAACTCAGTCTTACAGGGTTCCTGCTTCATGGAAGAGTCTAGGAGACATTCTGCAGGACAAAGAAGAATGACTGACAGACGGCCAATGCAGATGGACAGTTTGAAATTTCCTGCTTTGCTGAGAAATCTTCTGGACACATTGTGGCCTATGGGCTGAAGATGGATTCCCCAATGTTACAGAGGAACTTTGGGTGACTGTCCAGGCAGTAAGATGTCTCTGTCAATCCTAGTGTTTATATATTATCCTTCTGTGGTCTTTGATGGAGTTGAAGACAGATAGTTATAATTATAGTTTTCCTTAGTTATGATAAAAGATAAGCTACATATAGGACTTTGGACTCACAAGGATGGGATGGATGATATTTTCTTTAGATCTTGCTAAATGTTAATAGACAAAATGTTGTAACTGTGTTCTTACTTGATAACTGTTCTGTCATATACAATTTGACTATGTTAAAGTTAAGACCTTTCTTTTTGTTTAAACAGGAAAGAGGAGATGTTGGGGAAGTCCTGTGTATATGTTAATAAATTACTGCTGGCCAATAGGAATCTAGATAGGTGGGGC